GAGGAACGAATACAATGGTCATAGAAACTGGGGAGGGGAGCACAGGCACGAATTTTGTCAATATATAATATGGTGTCATAAATTATATCTCGTGATCCTTAATTCAGTGGTCATATAAAAGAGCTAGCTTCCTTGAGGAGAAAATCCTTACATCACTAAATATTTCTCTGTAGAACATAACACATGTAGATTTTTGAAGGATTGTGCAATACAAAATGATTTTAAATTCTCATTTTGATATAATTTTTGGGATAATTTTCAAAATCATTGATAATTTTTTATAGTGTTAATGAAAACGTCAAATCAAAATGAATATTCATTCTTTACATTAAAGGAAGACACTGTGTTTTTATTCTGGTTTATTTGAGATGCTTTTAGTTTTTGCTCAATATCCCTAGGGTGTCTAGTAAGTACATGTATATATCATCATAAAGAAGATTATTTAGTTATCATGAATTATGAAAGCAGTTATGAAGTTTATATATATATATTATTTTTTTTTTGCTTCTCGGTATTTTAATTTCGTCAAAAGAACTTTTTTAAAATGTACAATTAATCAATAATACAGAGTCCCTCTGGATGAAACATGTTAACAAACAATAATCATGCTAAAAAATTCATTACAAATTGTGAGCAAACACACGAATCTCTGGCATAGAAGGGATAACGTGTCAAGAAGAAGAAAACATCCCCTGCCGACCGGTCGCTTCCGTCGTGTGAAAAATCCGTAGTCATTTCTATGTGAAAATAATGGCCATATAATTGTGTTAACATTCGACTCCAAGATCGAATGCTTTTGCAAACAAGGTTATTGTTACTATCATATATACAATATAGAATTTACGATATGTTACATATATCTGTTAACGAGATGGTTGATATCCTTGCGTCATCCACTTTTCTGCTTCGTTAGAAATTGTGAATTCATCTGCAGCAACGTCTAGTAAATGTTGAAAAAATGTATACAAGTGTTAATTTCAATTGTTTTGTAACAAATGATATTCACTCTAGTGACAAAATATTCATTTTTTTATTTAAGAAATGGGTTGTGGATTTTCTTTTTCAATTATATCTTTATATCACAACTAGTCTTTAGCAACGAGTAGTTTGTCAGGAAGTGTAAATGGTTTCCTCTCATTAAATTATCTTTTGTAAGAAGTGGTCTACTTTGACAATTTCATGCCCCTTTTTATTGGCATTATGGGTCATTTATTGATTAAAACGTTCCTTAACCGATGTAATTGGCTGACAAAGTAGTACTTCATCGATAATCCAGACCTTCGTTTAGCTTCGACCTACATTTGCTTATGTCATCACATCCAACTTACTAGCAGATATAACCAGAAACTGGACAAAGTTTGAAAATCGACTTTTACAGGATTTTGTTATTTTTTTTTATAAAACTGTAGCGCAAACTCTTTTATCTGGTGATTTATAAGATAACAAGAATGTCTAATACTATCTTAATGAGTTACAGCCAAATTTTATTCAAAATCTTTTTTTTTTGTAAAGGATTTATCATTTTCTTTTTTAATAAATGGATAATATATTTTTAAAAATACTTATTAAAAACTGCATGTTAGGATCAGATTCTGCAAAAACTTTTCAGAGTAGGAGTCTACAGTTGAAGATGGTTTAGCATATTACAGGAGGAAGGCTGTAATATGAAACAAAAGGCATGAAATGGACATCACTCTCCTTCTCTCTTACTACAAATATGTATTTCAGAAATTATTATTTGTTTATTTAGAAGTAATTGAGCAAATGGACTTTCTGAGTGGTTGTTACAAGTTCAGAACCCTGCTTTTCTGTTATCCTCGGTGGAGTAATTCAACAGGTTCCTGAAAAAAAAAGAGTTGCTGATTTGATTTAGAGTAAAACATCCCACATAACGTGTCATCGATTCAGATTGTATTTGATGCTCGGTGTGATATATTCATCCAATCATTCTACAAACCATCTGCAAAAAATATCACTATTCTACTTTTGGTTTAGCATAATTCTTGAGTTCTCTGGTTAAATGACACACACTATAGATTACTTTCAATCAAAGACATAATAAAAAAAGTTTGAGACCGTGATTTAAGAAAGGATCACTGCTCATGTTCTAAATCATGTCTTTGAAGAAAAAAATATCTGAAAGCCTCAACTGGAAAATAGAGTTTAAAAAATCACATTTTAATAATGATTAACACGGATTCCTCTTTTATTCAGAAAAAAAACAGTATGTATATAACTTCTAATTTTGTAGTTGAACACAGTCGAAAGACACTCAATGACATTTTGTAATAAAATAAAAAAAAATTCTGACAAAACATCCCGTTTGTACCCATAAATCACAGAGAATGCATAGCTTCTGTCCATCATTGGGATTTTATGTGACACGCTTAAAAGCCGACAAGTCTTTCACGGGAATCAATATGCACCACATGTAAATTCATCGCTTTACGCTCAGTTATTGATATACTGATAGCTGACAAAAAAAATTAATTAATGTTCATTGAAAATTGGAATGTACTAGAAAGCATAAAATGTAAAGATGCATTATTGACAATCTACTGTAAACGTTCTGAAAAGTAAAAGTTTAAAACATGTAATAAGAGAAATAATCAATGAACATTAATTTAACTCGACAATGCTATCAATCTGTGAAGGACATTACCAAATCCACATGTAGTTGTTAACAACAATTGTCCAAAAGATATTTTTATTACATAAATTGAATTAGAAACTTGATATTTTGTTTTTAGTCTCTGTTTTTGTAATTTTTGTTAATCGCGAGATCTTGGGAAATTTGTAGGAGAGCATTGTGACAAATTCCATGTTAGCAAGGACATGTTTCTTCAATAAGATAAAACTCGAGAAAAGGTAGTTGGTAATCAACAAATTTTATTTGTTAAAAATCACTCTGATTCTACACACAAGTACCGGTGTTCTAAAGTAAATGGTAAAAGGGTACCAGAGCTATTTATTGACAATAATTATGAAGTCTTTGAGTCAACATTTTCTTAAAATATGTAGAAATTCGATAGGTACTAATTAACACTGCTTCTTTATAAATAGAATATTTCTATGAAGCAGAATTTATTCAAGAACTCATACATGGGAAGAAAACATTTGATGTGGCCTTCAACTCGACTCTCAAACAAATTGCCGAGTTATTTCCATTTACTAGTATATTTCGATTCCATACATCCCAGAGAGTAAACTCAAAATAAAAGTCATTACAAAGTTTGATACATTTGTCTTCTATTTGGATGTTGACAACAAAGATCTGTGATAAAAGCCAACTTAATTTTTACCGTTGTCAATTTTCCTGTTTTCAGCGATTCTCCGCTATCACCTGGATATACATGTAGAGTTTACATCTTTCAACTTATTTGATACTTTTAAGAGCATGCTCCGAGTACGATAAATTTTGAAAGCGAGGCAGACTACTGAAATATAAGTTGATAATACAAGAATTTCAACAACATTGTTTAACACCAGCCTTTTGTAATTCTATGGTCGATAAAATGACCTTGTTAGTAAATGTAACCTCTTACTTGATCGTACTTTAGCTTAGACTTACCAGTGGTATAACTGTGATTTATATACTATAGATTAATCGCTCTATGGTTTTCTTTGACAGGTGATAAAGATGCTGGTGATCGTGGTGACGATATTCGGGGTGTGCTGGCTCCCTCTTCATGTGTTTACATTGGTCCGTGACTTTCAACCCTCCACCCACCACGACAGACTTGAACTAGGAATATACCTGGGAGTCCATTGGCTTGCCATGTCCAACAGTTTTGCCAATCCCATTATCTACAGCTTTACAAACGACAGTTTTAGAGTAAGCTTCTGACAATAACACGTACATATTAACGGAGAAGATAATTATGTTTTTATGTAGAAATCAAATGTCTAAAATGTAAAAATAGATCTATAAACATAAAAACTGAAATATCACGCTGCAAGAACGAAACATATGGAGATAACGAACAGCACTCAAGCTCAAAGTCCATTACACAATACAAAATAGGAGCAGAGCAGAGCAAACATGGACCTCCAAAACATCAGAGGTTGGATCAGGTGCCATGGAGGAGTGAGCATCCCCCGTCAAGTTGTCACATCTGCTGTGTGATCCTTGTCATGATCGGAAAATAATGAGAAAATCTGTCAACTATACATAGTGGCCTAACAACTCCATGCGCTCGGCACTTGCGGGTCCTTTGGATTAGGCATTAAAAACTCAGGTCTCGTGTCACAGCAGGAGTTGACAAGATAAAGATCTCTCACTGCTCAATGGCTCTGAGTGCTGAGTAAAGGTCAAAATTTGAAGCCCTTCACCGGTTTATAGTGACCTCTCTATATGAGTGCTGAGTAAAGGTCAAAATTTGAAGCCCTTCACCGGTTTATAGTGACCTCTCTATATGAGTGCTGAGTAAAGGTCAAAATTTGAAGCCCTTCACCGGTTTATAGTGACCTCTCTATATGAGTGCTGAGTAAAGGTCAAAATTTGAAGCCCTTCACCGGTTTATAGTGACCTCTCTATATGAGTGCTGAGTAAAGGTCAAAATTTGAAGCCCTTCACCGGTTTATAGTGACCTCTCTATATGAGTGCTGAGTAAAGGTCAAAATTTGAAGCCCTTCACCGGTTTATAGTGACCTCTCTATATGAGTGCTGAGTAAATGTCAAAATTTGAAGCCCTTCACCGGTTTATAGTGACCTCTCTATATGAGTGCAAAAAATTCTTGAATGGGACGTAAAACAACATACAATCAATCGAACTGTTAAAAATGTGTTCTTCATTACATGTATCTTTTACAAGTTGACCGTTTAACCTTGTTTTAATACACTGCTGATCTTTTAACCCTGTTTTAATACATTCCTTTAACCTTACAGGCTGACCTTTTGACCTTGTTTTATATGTGGTGTCCTTGTTGTTCCTGTCTTAGAGTGATGATAAACAGGACGTATAGTGTAACAACCAAGGAGAGCTTCCTAATCCGCCATCAGAGCAAACCGAAGAAGACTTCCTCTGGAAAGTTACAGAAGAGGTTACTAATTGTAGAACAAAAGCCAGGCTGTACCGGAAGTCGAAATAAAACGTGTGAGGAGGAGCAGCTGGACCTTGTCTGTAAACTGTTTGTCGACAGTGTCTCAGAACTTGGCACTGCGCAAGTCTCGTCAAACCCGTGATTTCTTATGCTTTGTATGTGTGTTACATAAACTGTGTATATGCATTAAATAATCAAATACTCCTGAAATAAAAATTGTTCTTCAATATTTTCCACATGCTAAGGAATGCAATAATACATAAAATTAACTCAATATGTAAACCTTAATACATTGTACTTGTTTTTTTTAAGTCTAAAAAAATTTATTAGTGTTCAGACCTTCCTTAAAATCATTGTAATGTGTAAAATAATTTTACAAAAATGCACATGAAAGCTGAAAACATTAATCACAGGACTTTCACTTTTATGTAATGAAATATAATATTACATGTATGTTTTAAAGAATTCTTTTGACTTTTTAAAATATCTCAGGAAGGAAAATTCTTTTTGTGTTGCATAGGAAAAACTAGTAGGAATTGTTAATGAATAGATGTATTAATTTGGCTTAAATGTGGGTTTAAAATATTTACATACAGTGGTTTGGATTTACATACAGGCATTAATGATTACTTTAATTAATATAACAATATTTGTTTCAAATGATATGCTTTCATTGTCGTTACTTCAAAATAACTTCAGTCTTCAATAGTTTATATTGTTATTTTTTTTTCTCAAATGAAAGTTTGTCATACATATGAATTAATAAATGCACCAGGTTTTAATAGCAACAATTTTTTATTCATTCTTATTTCAGAAAATAATTGAAATTTCATAAAATTTCTCAAATGTTTGGAACAACAATATCCTAATTTAAAATAATAACATATTATACATGAAAAATCTAGTCTTCAAACTAAGCACTGATACATGTATTAGTGCATATTTCAATTAAAAAAATTCCCATTGAATTACATGAGGTGTTACATACCTCTCACAGCAAACCCAGATTTAAGGTTTAAAATATGCTGCATTAATAAATATCTGAAAAATTTGATTAAAGGCCATGATTGACATAGATTTATTAGAAATACACATGTATCCAGTAATTCCTGGCAAAATGTACCATTAAATTATCACTTAGCAGCAATAAAAATTTAAAGTTAGGTACTTGTTCACTTGCATTTAGAATTAAATGTACAATAAATAAACCTTGAAATGACCTACATGTATTAAATCATTTCAGAATATAAAGGTTCAGGTGGACAAATAAAAGAAGGAATAAGTGTCATATGTAAATGACCTTGACCTGCAAAACATGACCTTAAATAACTTGCGTATTATTCATGCAAAGAATTAAAAATGAAAGCTGAAAATTGTTCAATGAGAATATTTTGATATACAACATTAAAATACTTGTATTGCGTACATGAAATTTTGGCAAGATAGGCATGAGAGTAAATATTATTTTCGTATATACTTGAACATATCATTTTATTGTGAGATAAAAAAATAAATGATCTTTCTATTTACCATATCAAATTTTCTTCACATCAGAATTTGACATATAATTCATTTCTGAAAAAGTAAGCAACGCTTCATGCTTCAAACTATTTTCCATTTGAATCTAATGCTAATGTTGTTAATAAAAATCATTGTTTGGAATTAAAAAAAACAAGAGGCCCATGGGCCACATCGCTCACCTGAGAAGCTTTGACCATTCTGTTCTTTACCAGATTTCCCCCTTGTTATACATAATGCATCCCCACCCTACCCCACTGATCATAATTTAGACATTTTGAAATCTACACTACCCCATGATCCTTCCATGGGCACATATGTTTCAGCTTTTTTGGCCCAGTGGTTCCTGAGAAGAAGATTTTCAAAGATTTTTCCTATATATTTCTATGTAAAACTTTGATTCCCTATAATGGCCCCGCCCTTCCCCCGGGGGTCATGATTCCTACAATTTAGAATTTACACTACCCCAGAATGCTTCCACATAAGATTCACTTTTTCTGGCCCAGTGGTTCTTGAGAAGAAGATTTTCAAAGATTTTTCCTATATATAACTTTGATTCCCCATTGTGGCCCCGCCCTTCCCCCGGGGGTCATGATTTGAACAATTTAGAATCTACATTATACCAGGATGCTTCCACATAAGTTTCAGCTTTTCTGGCCCAGTGGTTCTTGAGAAGAAGATTTTCAAAGATTTTTCCTATATATTTCTATGTAAAACTTTGATACCCCATTGTGGCCCCGCCCTTCCCCCGGGGGTCATGATTTGAACAATTTAGAATCTACACTACACCAGGATGCTTTCACATAAGATTCAGCTTTTCTGGCCCAGTGGTTCTTGAGAAGAAGATTTTCAAAGATTTTTCCTATATATTTCTATATAAAACTTTGATTCCCCATTGTGGCCCCACCCTTCCCCCGGGGGTCATTATTTTAACAATTTAGAATCCACACTACCTGAGGATGATTCCACATGAGTTTCATCTTTTCTGGCCCAGTGGTTCTTGAGAAGTAGATTTTCAAAGATTTTTCCTATATATTTCTATGTAAAACTTTGATTCCCCATTGTGGCCCCGCCCTTCTCCCGGGGGTCATGATTTGAACAATTTAGAATCTACACTACACTAGGATGCTTCCACATAAGTTTCAGCTTTTCTGGCCCAGTGGTTCTTGAGAAGAAGATTTTCAAAGATTTTTCCTATATATTTCTATATAAAACTTTGATTCCCCATTGTGGCCCCACCCTTCCCCCGGGGGTCATTATTTGAACAATTTAGAATCTACACTATACCAGGATGCTTCCACATAAGATTCAGCTTTTCTGGCCCAGTGGTTCTTGAGAAGAAGATTTTCAAAGATTTTTCCTATATATTTCTATATAAAACTTTGATTCCCCATTGTGGCCCCGCCCTTCCCCCGGGGGTCATGATTTGAACAATTTAGAATCTACACTACCCCAGGATGCTTCCACATAAGTTTCAGCTTTACTGGCCCAGTGGTTCTTGAGAAGAAGATTTTTTAATGACCCAACCCTATTTTTGTCTTTTCTTGATTATCTCCCCTTGCGAGGGGACATGTCCCTTCATTTTAACAATTTAAATTCCCCTTCACCCAAGGATGCTTTGTACCAAGTTTGGTCAAAATTGGCCCAGTGGTTCTTGAGAAGAAGTCGAAAATGTGAAAAGTTTACAGACGGACAGACGGACGGACGACGGACAAAATGTGATCAGAAAAGCTCACTTGAGCCTTCGGCTCAGGTGAGCTAAAAATTGTGAAATTTGGAGCAGAGAGATATTTCACCTTAAGGAATTAAATTAAATAGCAACCCAAATTATACTGTATATATTATATTAAGGCTTTACAAAAAGCAAAACTGGGAAATCCTGACACTAAGGGCTGAAAGGGAACAATATATTCAATAAAAAAAAATGATTTGGGAAATTTTAATTGACATGTTAATCTGAGTACATCAAGCAAATCATGTTTACTGTTGGCCTGAAAGAGGGACAGACAACTTCATCTTGCATGTTAGGCCAACAAAATAATAGTCTCATTTCCTGCTGTCAGCCTGAAAAAATTAAGGTAGGTAGGTAGGAAAATTATTTAATATTTTTTTTATTTTTTAAGACAGCATTTTTTGTGATATGAACTAATACAAGATCTAATTAAACATGTCACCTGTCAATTTCGTCTTTTAAAATTAAAGAGCAAGAGCCATGTTGGGTCATATTTGGCCCTGAGAATTTCTGAAAAATCAAAATCGATCAGTTTAGGTTGCAAATGCAATATTTATCACTTGGAGTGTTGGGGACAACATATCCATTAATCGTGACGTAATTTCCAATCTAATCAATGCATTATGACGTCATAAAATGCGTCATTTTCCTCATATTCTATAAATTCCTTTGAAAATGACCTTAAGTTTGAGCATTTTTTCAATATTTCATATAGAGCACAACCTCTGATCCAAAATATCCAAACACATAACGAAAGCTCTGTTCCTGAGGATCAAAAAACGCGTTTTATTTTTTGGATCGTGGGCTGTGCTCATATTTTAATTCTTTGCTGAAGGTAGTAAAATACGCATGTTTTCTGCAAATCTCAAGAGCATTGCAATTTCTCAAGCCTGTTTTCCAATATCTGTATTCTCAAAACAAAATTTTATTATAGAAAATGAAAGCACCAAGTGTCTACTCTATTTTGATATATGAAATGGGAAAGAGGGGGATAGTTAATTAATTGGTATAAGTACAGGGCCATTTTATGCATAAGATGGCTCTTGCTCTTTCATGTCTTTTAATGAACAACTCAAGTAGTTAATAATGTATTTTATGAAAATCCATATTTAAAACAGAATTTCATGAAATGCTTGTTTTTGTTAACAGGGAAACCAGTTACAGTGTCAGAATGATAATATTCTGATTTATTCTTTTAAATCTAAAAAAAAAAAGGATCAGGTGCAAAACAAGAGGCCCATGGGCCTTATAGGTCACCTGAGCATTATGCAACAACTTTCCAGTGATTGAATTTGATTCATGTTTTAATCCAGATGCTATGGCATTCACAATTTTGAAAGAGGCCCCATTGATCATCATAACAATACACTTAGCAGTTGCTTAGTTTGTTTACTTAATACCCATAGGCAGGGTAGGGGAACAACAAATGCATTTCAAGTAATCAGTAATATTCAGCATGATCAGTAATGCCCCAATCACACATGAACCCCTCACCCTTAGGCCTAGATCCACACATTGCACAATTTTTGAAAAGGCACCCTTGCTTTTCAAAAATATTTGATTAATACCAAGGAGCATATTTCGAACAATTCATCCAGTTTCAGTATATAAGTACAGCCCCCCCCCCCCTCCTTTATGGTACCCCTTACCCTGGGGCCTTGAAATTCACAATTCTGGAAGATTAGTACCCTTGCTCATCATAACTATATAGGTAGTTCATCTGCTTAATACCAAGGAGCAGAGAAGAAAACTTTCAAAGATTCAATGTATTTTCACTATATAATCAATAGAGCCCTGCCCTATCACTAGAACCCCTGACCCTAGGGCCATAAAATTCACAATTTTGGAAGAGGTATTCTTGCTCATCATAACTTTGTAATTAGTTTATTTCATTCCTAGGAGCAGAGAAGAAGATTTTCAAAGAATTCATGTATTTTCACTATATAATCTATAGAGCCCTGCCCTAACACCAGAACCCCTGACCCTGGGGCCATAAATTTCACAATTTTGGTAGAGGCACTCTTGCTCATCATAACTATGCACTTATTTAATTTATTTAATAAACAGGAGCAGAGAAGAAGATTTTCAAAGAATTCATGTATTTTCACTATACAATCTATAGACCCCCCCCCCCTTACACCAGAACCCCTGACCCTGGGGCCATAAAATTCACAATTTTGGTAGAGGCACTCTTGCTCATCATAACTATGCACTTAGTTAGTTTATTTAATACCCAGGAGCAGAGAAGAAGATTTTCAAAGAATTCATGTAATTTCACTATATAATCTATAGAGCCCCACCCTAACACCAGAACCCCTGACCCTGGGGCCATAAAATTCACAATTTTGGTAAAGGCACTCTTGCTCATCATAACTATGCACTTAGTTAGTTTATTTAATACCCAGGACCAGAGGAGAAGATTTTCAAAGAATTCATGTATTTTCACTATATAATCTATAGAGCCCCCCCCCCCCCCCACCTTACATCAAAACCCCTGACCCGTGGGCCATAAAATTCACAATTTTGGTAGAGGCACTCTTGCTCATCATAACTATGCACTAAGTTAGTTTATTTAATACCCAGGAGCAGAGAAGAAGATTTTCAAAGAATTCATGTAATTTTCTATTATAATCTATAGAGCCCCACCCTTACAAAAGAACCCCTGACCCTGGGGCCATAAAATTCACAATTTTGGTAGAGGCACTCTTGCTCATCATAACTATATACTTAGTAGGTTTATTTAATACCCAGTAGCAGAGAAGAAGATTTTCAAAGAAATAATGCATTTTCACTATATACTTATTTGGCCCCGCCCTAGCACTAGAACCCATGACCCCGGGGCCATGAATTTCACAATTTTGGTAGAGGACTCAATGTTGATTACAATCATGCAAACAGTTTGACTGCTTAATGTCCAGGAGTAAAGAAGAAGAATTTTTAAAGATTGCACTAATTTTAGTGGTTTTTGCCCCACCCCCCAGGCCCCAGGGGGGCAGGGACCATGAAATTCACAATTTTTGTTCCCCTTTACCCATAGATGCTATATGCCAAATTTGGTTGAAATTGGTTAAGCGGTTTCAGAGAAGAAGCTGAAAATGTTCAAATGTTAACGCACGACGAACGACGACGGACGAAAAGTGATAGCAATAGGTCACCTGAGTTTACTCAGGTGACCTAAAATTAAAAATAGGGTAGGTCAGGTAGCAGGAAACAAGACTATTATTTTTTTTTAATGAAAGACTGATGAAATTAACTTAATTACATTTCAGAATCTTTTCCAGCATGCAATTCTCTTATTTTCATTTTTAAGTACATGGTTTTGACTCGATAAAACTCAGCTTCTTCTTTAAACTTCTTGCTTTCCTGAATGTATTTCTCTCTTTCTGCCCTTAATGTCAGGATTTCATCCTCTTCCATAGTCTTCCTTCTTTTGGATGTCTTTACCGAAGAGAATGAAGGAGGAAATTCCAAATTTACAACACCCAGCTGGGTTGCATCATTCTGTATCTCGTAGATGGCTGATACACCTAAATTCAACAGAGTAGCTGAATAGCATATACAAGAGACCCATGGGCCACATCGCTCACCTGAGCACTGTGGCTAGGAAAAAAGCAGAAATTAATTTATTATTGAAAAGTTTTAACTCAAAAGAAGTCCCAACCATTCCTTAAAGGGGAGAGGGTATGATTTGCACAATTTTGAATCTACACTACCTGAGAATGCTTCCATACAAATATGATCAATCATGGTTTTGCTTCTCTTGAGAAGAAGATTTTTAAAGAATTTTCCTATATATTTCTATGTAAAACTTTGATTGGCTATTGTGGCCCTGCCCTACTCCCGGCTGTCATGATTTTAACAATTTGAATTTATACTACCTGAGGATGTTTCCCCATAAGTTTCATCTTTCCTGGCACAGTGGTTCTTCAGAAGATTTTTAAAGCATGCCACCAAATTTTCACTATTTCTGAATTATCTCTCCTTGAATGAGGGCGTGGTCATTCATTTGAAAAAACTTGAATCCCCTTAATCCAAGAATGCTTTGTGGTAAGTTTGGTTGAAATTGGCCCAGTGGTTCTAGAGAAGAAGTCAAAAATGTGAAAAGTTTACAGACAAACAGACGGACGCCTGTTAAAATGTGATCAGAAATGCTCACTTGAGCTTTAAGCTCAGATGAGCTAAAAACTACATAATTATATATGAACAATAATAAAATAAACACATTTTGTCAGTTTACAATAAGTTTTTGTTTGGAAATTCAAAATATATAATCTTGAAGTATGGATTCAAATTTTATCTTTTATTGACAGAATGCATTATTAAATCATTCTTTTTAGAGTCGAAAGGTTGCACAATAATATCATAGGGACATAAGGTAAGCCTTACCTGTACCACTTGCACTTGTTGAAGATGTGCAGTCATTTGTCATGGTATGCATTTCCTCTGGTACAACTGTTAAATTTACTAAAAATAATCATAACATGTTAAATGAAACTATATGTTTTTACATTTTTAAATTAAAGTGGTACTTATGTATATGAGAGAAGGAGGCTGATAGGGAATCTGTGCAGGGAGACGGAATCAGCGTCCATGTGGTTGTGGAGAAGAAGAGCAGATAAGTGGAAAGACAATAAACATTAGTGAGATAGACAGTAAAGGTAGAACAGCAGTGATGTGAATAAACAACAGTAAGACAGACACTGAATTAGTACAGCAGTGATGTAGAGCCAAGTGGTTCCAGGCTGGGACTTGATCACCCCAGTTGGCGCACCTCTGGAGGCTGTAGTGGACAGCGCCGAAACAGCTGATGAAGGAGGATCCACCTGAGGATGGAACCACGCATCTTTCCATCAAGATGTATACAAGTAATATTATCTGGGAAACCAGTGACAGCCAGGAAAGTCTGGATGACAACTGAGAAAAGTTCAGTGACAACCTGGAGAGACAGGAGACAACCAGGAGAGACTGGGATCAGGGGTGTGGAGGCTTGGCAGGCCAAAGCACATCTTCCGTGAGGAAGGACCCATTTCATCACGCTATGGACAGATACATACTTAGATACCCCCGAGGTCGCGCGAGAGCGGGGGAGGATGAGCGGCCTGTTGGGACGGAAAATCAGGATACAACCAGGCAACGAAAAACGACAACGAATACGAACAGTGGAAATGTATGCAGCTGTGGGAAAGTATGCAAGAATGAAAAGGGGCTGAAAATCCACATGGGGAGGATGGGATGTAAGCCAGATCAGCAGCTAACACAACGCACAGGGCAACCTGGTGAGACGGAGGAGGAAGTGGTTCAGGACGAAAACCACAGCGACCGCAGCCTCCACGTGTTAGGTAACGACGAGGCTTCATACAGTGAAAGTCAGGACAGCGAGGTCAATAACCAATCACAGAGCATCAATCAACAGCAAGAAGAGATGGGAGACAACAGGGGTGCTGACAGTAATATAAGAAAGAAGAAAGTAAAATGGCCCAACAGTAACAACAAAAGCAACTGGGAACAGTTTGACAAAGATGTGGATGCAATTCTGAACACAACCCTTGCAGGCAGTATTGACAGGAAAATAGAAGCTATGACATCAATCATATACAGCGTAGGTCTAGACAGGTTTGGTGCAGAACAAAGGAAAAAGTCACAAAAAGAAGGAAGGAAGAACAGGAGAGAGAGGGAAATAGCAAAGATGAGGAAAGACTTGCGGCAGCTTCGTAAGCAGTATAGGAAGGCTACCGATGAGGAGAAACCGGCCCTATCACAGTTACGAAATAACATCAGGGAACATCTCAAGATAGCAAGAAGAGCAGAGAGAAGTAGGCGTAGAAGGAAACAGCGAGACAGAGCAAGAGCAAGATTCACAGCAGACCCATTTCAGTTTACATCAAGATTACTAGGAAATAAAGGGTCCGGATCATTGAAATCTTCAAAGGAAGACGTTGAGGAATATTTGAGGGAGATGCACAGTGATCCACATAGGGAGGAAGAGTTGGGGGAGTGGGAGAAGTTGATACAACCAGAAGAACCAAATCAACCCTTTGATGAATCACCACCAAAACTAAAAGAAGTAGCAGATGTTATCAAGAAAGCTAGAGCAGCATCAGCACCAGGACCAAATGGTGTTCCTTATAAAGTTTATAAGTATGGTCAACGGTTGACAAAGCGCCTCTGGAAACTGATAAGAGTGATTTGGAGGAGGGGCAGATTGGCAGATAGCTGGTACAGAGCAGAAGGCTGTTTTATTCCCAAAGAAGAGAAATCAGAGGCATTGAAACAATTTAGGACTATATCGCTCCTGAACGTAGAAGGGAAGATATACCTTGCAATTTTAGCAAGGAGAATGTCTAGTTACATGCTTGAAAATCAGTATATTGATATTGCTGTGCAGAAGGGAGGAGTACCCGGAGTATCAGGATGTATTGAGCATACAAGTGTACTGACACAGATAATCAGGGAAACCAAGGAGTCCAAAGGGGAGTTGGCAGTCATCTGGCTAGATCTAGCAAATGCATATGGGACAGTTCCCCATAAACTACCGGTAGTCGAGCTGACACTTGAAAGATACCATGTACCAGAGAAGACGAGGGTAGTTTTAAAAGACTATTTTGACCATCTTCAACTAAGATTCACAGTACAGGATTACACAACAGCATGGCAACGCTTAGAAGTTGGAATAGTCACAGGATGCACCATATCCGTAATCCTATTTTCAGCAGCAATGAACATGATAGTCAAGTCAGTGGAGAAGAAGAGCAGAGGGCCATGGATGAAGTCAGGAGTACGCCAACCACCTGGGAGAGCATTCATGGATGATATGACAATAACAACCAAAACAGTTATTGAAGCCAAGTGGACAATACATGAACTAGAACAAGCTATCACTTGGGCAAGAATGAAAGTAAAACCAAGCAAGTCCCGTAGCTTAGTGATAAAGAATGGAAAAGTAAAAGAAGTTAGATTCATGATTGAAGGAGAGGCAATACCAACAGTCTCAGAGAAGCCAGTAAAGTGTTTAGGGAAATTCTTTAATGACACATTAACAGACAGACAAAATGTGAAAGAAACATGCAGACAGCTGGATGAATGGATGAAAACTGTGGATAAAAGTGGACTACCCGGTAAATATAAAGCCTGGATATACCAACATGGGATACTACCTCGCTTGCTGTGGCCGCTATTGGTGTATGAGGTACCAATGAGCACAGTAGAAGGGATGGAAACAACAGCGAGCAGATACCTGAGGAGATGGCTGGGGGTACCAAGAAGTTTCAGCAGCATTGGATTATACAGCTCTGGGACTAAGCTACAGTTACCTCTAAAGTCAATTACTGAGGAATTCAAGGTGACAAAGGTGCGTCAGCACTTAATGTTACAGAATAGCAAAGACGAGAAGGTTCGGACAGCAAAAGTAGATATCAGGACGGGGAGAAAATGGTCAGTAAAAGAAACTGTACAAGAAGCAGAAACCCGCTTGAGACACAGTGACATTGTTGGAAGACTGGCAATAGGAAGGCAGGGACTTGATGTCACACCAACAGCAAGATGGGGTACAGCTTCGGTAGAAGAGAAGCGTAGTTTGGTGCAGAGGGAGGTGCGTGCAATGGAGGAAGATTCGAGAATGGTCAAAGCAGTTGGAATGAAGAAACAAGGTAGCTGGGTGAACTGGGAGAATGCACGTCAAGTGAAGTTGGGTTGGAATGATATTTGGAAGATGGAACCATTCAGACTTCAGTTTAAGCTGAAATCAGTTTATGATGTTCTTCCCAGCCCAACTAATCTGGTAACATGGGGAATGACAGAAGATCCAAAGTGTGTCCTCTGTGGTAGACCAGCAAACTTGGAGCACATATTATCAGCATGCTCAGAGGCTTTGAAAGATGGGAGATACACTTGGAGACATGATAGAGTCCTAGCCAGTATAGCTGACACCTTGGAGAAAGGTATTAAAAGGCCAAAGAAGAACGCAGAGAGCCTGAGATTCGTCAACTTTGTGAAAGAAGGTGAAAAGGGACATAAAGTTAGAGTTGAAGGAAGTGGTCTCTTGGGGACAGCAACAGATTGGCAGATGCGGGTAGACCTTAAGGAAAGATTAGTATTTCCATCGGAAATAATAGCCACAAACAAGAGGCCGGATGTAGTCCTTTGGTCAATGGCTACAAGACAGACAATTATTTTGGAGTTAACAGTGCCATGGGAAGAAAGGATGGAGGATGCATATGAAAGGAAAAATCTTAAGTACCAAGACCTACTGAAAGATTGTCAGCAGAACGGATGGAAGGTCTGGTTTTTTGCAGTGGAAGTGGGTTGTAGAGGATTCGTGGGACAGTCTATGTGGAGAGCACTGAGAGCCATTGGCATAACGGGAGCAGAGAGAAGGAGGCTGATAGGGAATCTGTGCAGGGAGACGGAATCAGCATCCATGTGGTTGTGGAGAAGAAGAGCAGATAAGTGGAAAGACAATAAACATTAGTGAGATAGACAGTAAAGGTAGAACAGCAGTGATGTGAATAAACAACAGTAAGACAGACACTGAATTAGTACAGCAGTGATGTAGAGCCAAGTGGTTCCAGGCTGGGACTTGATCACCCCAGTCGGCGCACCTCTGGAGGCTGTAGTGGACAGCGCCGAAACAGCTGATGAAGGAGGATCCACCTGAGGATGGAACCACGCATCTTTCCATCAAGATGTATACAAGTAATATAATCATGTAAATTAATGTTTTTATGGATATAAAGTAGTGCATATTATACAGTTATGGAATGGGTACGAGGGAAATAGCAAATTTATGGTTCCCCAAGGGAGGAAACTATTTCCTGAGGCAGCGAAGCTGCCGAGGGAAATAGTTTCCTGCCCAGGGGAACCATAAATTTGTTATTTCCCGAGTTCCCATTCCATAACTGTTTTATTATACCGAAACAATCATAGGCGATTTTAATTTTTTTTACCAGATATTCCGACGTTAAAAAAAAAACGAAAGTAGAGGCATAATTACAAATGCATGCGGTTCAACACATTGTATGGTAAGTAATGCATCATGTCCTAAACCAATTAAATTATTTTTAAAAAGTATTTTCACTGACATTTCGAAGAATCATCGTTGTCTTCATTTTGCTAGAATTCAAGTATGATTTTGGCATCGCATGTCGAAATGTTTTGACGTCATAGCTAAATTGCTAATAAGATGACGTCACAGACTCGAGATTCCTTGAACGCTCCGCCTACTGAACACTTTGATTGGTTAAAATTACTAATAAATATTCATGAGGGAGTAGTCCCAGGGAGTAGCTCTGATTTTCCAGGGAGTAGTCTTCAGTTGAGGGTAGTAGTCTCTTCTCGGGGAAATAGACAGTTTTATGGTATTAATTTTATAAAGCGTAATTACAGTAGAGGTATGGTAAATACGTATATGTACTTCAACGTTTAACACTGCACAGTATTTTAAAATCTACCAGGTATATTTGTTATATTCCAGTGACGTGTACATGTATATACATGTATATACGTCATCAGGGTATTTTTAGAGACTAGCTGTCCTATTATCTTGTTTTTCAAATATTTAAACAATAAATGCTATATGCATTAACCTTCCTCCGTGTCGTGTCCAGTGGACAGGCCACATAGGGTTGGCCTGTCTTCAAGGTGGCTTAGTAGCTCAGCTTTTACAGGGGTTAGGGAGGGAGGTTTGGGGCCACCGCCTGTAATTGGTCTTCTGATGGCATCAGACTTCTCTTTTGCTGTCATAAAACATTACGTACACATTGTTTATTTTATACATTCAGTGTGATTTTCTTAATGCAATCCATTAGAAATCCATGACGTTCAAATCTCTATAACACACACGAAACCTTGTCACCGCACCAAAACTTTATGAACACCAAAATGTACATTGTTTGACATAATTTAATTTTTAAAAAAATTTGTTCCTGTTGAATTAACGTAAAAATACAACAAGTATACATTTAAAATACAACAAATATGCATTTAAAATTAATTTGTCACTTTTTCCTCTCGCAATGTTTGTTTGCGTTATTTAACTTTACGACGTCACAAACGGCTCTTACGTCTATAAAGCACACCAGTTTTGAAGGGACCTTAATTCACATTAAATATCAGTATTTTAAACAAATAGAGAGAGGAAAAATTAAAGAATGTAAATACGAGTATAAGTATTGAATTCATATTTTGGGATGTCTTCAGTCCTATAACACACCTGGCCATGTCGACAAATTATCATAACGCGCAAACTCGCGGTATTCAATTTGTCGGCACAGCCAGGTGTGTTATAGGACGAAAGACTTCCAAAATATGAATTCAATGCTTAAATATTTTCCACATGTTTCATTTGCTGTAGTATATGTCAACTTAATGTTGTTGTTTTTTTATATTTTTGGCCACAAAAAAGCTTAATTATTATATCAGTTATTTCTTTCATTCATATTAAAATATATTTCATTTAAAAAATACATGTCCAAAAATATAATATGTGAATTATGTGCACGTGGTTAAGCCATCTTATGCTTGCCCTTTTCTGACCTAGGACATATTGGGTTATACAAATATCCCAATATGGATATTTTTCTGGTGAATAACAAACCATATTAAACACCAAAACACGCCTGCTAATCGATCACTTGCACAACCAGCAGTTGTGTATAACAATCAAAAGAGATCGATTTCCGGTTGTGCATTTGATGCGAATAATTCCAGTACACAGGTAGTAAATGGACCCGATTCAGACAATTGATAATTTTATTAAAATATAAAAATGTGATTCCATGGGCAATTTATTTTTCTTTAATTTTACATTTTCAGAAAATGTAATGATCGTCGAATAGCGACTATATTTGTTTTGAAGCGAGGGCTGGTAGAGCGAAAACGCTGATTGAAAATAGTATTGTCGACTAGAATTCGTTTTAATCGCAACTAACCTTGAAAATTTAATGTCCACCATGAGTATTTTCATTGGCGGATCTAGAAGGTGGTTCCTGGGGTTGGACCCCCCTCCCTTGATTTTTGCAGAGAGAGAGAGTTATGTAACATGGATATTTTATTACGTCTAATATTTTGAATAAAATAAATACTTTGAATAAAAAAAATATTTTGAATAAAATAAATACACTGTATATGTTGTTCATTCTCTGTCCTTTCTGATCGCTATAAATAGAGTTCCCTCGTTCAATATATATGCTTTCCTCCGAGTACCGTCACAATCCCAGCCCTGGGTGCGACTACCAACACGTCCTATGCGTCACTTTGAAACCAGTGGAAGATCAAAGTAAATTATAGCTACATGTGTATGTACTGCTTGCTTGTTTGCGTTTTTGTTTTATTTGTTTTTTTGTTTGTTTGTTTGTTTGTTTGTTTTTGGCTAGTCAAAGTCCCCCATAGAATTGTTGAAAAATCGGTGTTGCCAGATTTGAAGTGCCTATATCCATGAGTGTTGAACACCTGGACACCCCCCCCCCCTTTTTCAAAAATTGCTGGATCTGCCCCTGCAATGTCTTCATATTATAGCCAATATTTAAAATTTTATATTTACCAAAAATAAAATAGTATAATAGGTGAATTATGGAGATTGTTTAATACTTTCGTAACTTTTAATCCTTTATCTCATGCATAACCCGAGATCACTTTCACAACTGAATTATCGCATGCATAAGCAATGTTATTTTCTTCGAATATTTGTCAAATTATACACATATCGAAGTCCCAATTTTGGTGGATAGGATGCACTTGTAGCATACTCATGGTGGACATTGAATTTTCAAGGTTAGTTGAGATTAAAACGAATTTTAGTCGGCGAATCCTATTTTCAATCAGCGTTTTCGCTCTATCAGCCCTCGCTTCAAGACAAACATAGTCGCTAATGGACGATCATTACATTTTCTGAAAATGTAAAATTAAAGAAAAATAAATTGCTCGTGGAATCACATTCTTATATTTTAATAAAAATATCAATTATTGCCTGAATCGGGTCAATTTACTACCTGTGTACTGGAATTATTCGCATCAAATGCACAACCGGAAATCGATCTCCTTTGATTGTTATACACAACTGCTGGTTGTGCAAGTGATCAATAGCAGGCGTGCAAAAGAGTCCATAATTGTTTTATTATATAGTCTGGATTTGGATAAATAAGACATTGAAGGCTGTATGACCACATCGTTTTCATTTGCGATCTTCCATTGTTGAAAATAAAAAGATCTCCAGATTACTCTTTGTAACCTCCTTGTTTTCCTTTCATATCCCTGTATTTAAATAAAAATTATATACCTCTTTGCTTTATGTTGGCATATTTTTTCCTGATCTGTTCCACCGTGCGTTGAGTTGTATCAGAGTTTCTGCAATATTTAAGGATTTTTAAAAATGTAGTGCTGCATGCAGAATCATAACTGATAAGTGCTGCATCAAATAATAATGTGATATAATTATCAGTTGTTCTGACAACCAACACTTTTTTTTTATTTTCTGGGAATTTGTTAGTATTTTGGCTATATTTAATTTACAATTAAAAAATGATATTTTATAATTGTTTCCTCCTTATCTCTCAACACTTTTTTTATTACATGGGACACTGCAGCTAGTACCATCTTTACTAAAGTCTGAAGATATTTTTTATTTACACTTATTATTTGCTAGCTGCAGAACTGTATAGCGTTATGGTTTTAGCTGCAGAACTGTAGAGCTATAAATATTATTTGCATGTATACAGCACTTTTAATTTGGCCCTAGTATTTGTCTTATATAGTAAAGTGGAAACACCACTGTGTGTAGCATGGTTGATGCCAACATGTTTGGTGAATCTATAAATAAATTGAATATTTAATTTAATTTTAATAATTTATAAAACAAGTACATGTATATATATGCCCTTTAAGTCTCGATTTTGCTAATATTTAGCAAATTGTAAGAGGGGTAACTTCGTGTTCTTTATCACGAGTCGTATATAAGAAACTTCGAGTGATATAGATCTTTTGATTATGAATATACATGTACACGATTGTTATACATACAGAAGTGCTGATACTTACGCATTCACCGCCTCTGCGACCTCCTCCCAAGCCCCCTCTTTGATTTTTACGTTTCTGACACCCCCCGGCCCCTTCATCTTCCCAAAGAGGCGGTCCTCACGTTGACGGATCGCCTCAACCAAGACGATCCTTTCTTTTTCTGTCCAATTGGGCCGGCGGGGTGTCTTATACGTCTTCTCTTCCATTTTAATTTTTGGCGCTTTGTGGTGTTGCAGACGATTATTTACATTGGATACTATAACCGGAAGTAAGGTGTAAGGCCGCTTATCTGACGTTCAAAAAACTCAGTTGAGAAAAAAATAAACTTAGCTGAGATTTGACTGTCAGTGAGTTTGTTTCGAGCAATGACGTATAACAAGTTATACGTCACTGTTTCGAGAAACGCGATTTGAGAAAAATCTTAGCTGAGTTTTTTCTCAGGATTTGAGATTGAACTTTAGCAAAAACTTAAGGTTTTTTTTTTTTTCGAGAAATCCAAGCCTGAGATCTTACCTATTTTGTGTCCATACTTTATAACAATTTATACTTTGGTTATGTATTTTTCTGCAACAGCTGCAACATTATTTCCTACGAGTACGAAGGTTAAAAAAATAAAAATTTCGCGTTATAACGCGAAACTTTCGCGATATAACATGTAACTTTCGCGTTATAACCTTCGCGAGTAAACGCGTAACTTTCGCGTTATTTCGCGAAATTATATGCATATAGTAATGTTTTTTCAGGAAACTTGATCTTTACTGACGGATAAGATCATGAACGATGACATGAGAAATGATGCGAGAATGGTTCGAGAATAGGATAGATTAGTCGTCAAATATTTTTTATTTCAAAAGCCTGTCAATTAATAAATATTTTACTTTCTTGTACAGTACATGTTTTTCAGTTATTAAATTCAAGAATTTCTTGAGACTGATTATTTTATTGAAGGAAAGTTTCCACTTGACACTTTCTCAAGCATTTTTATCAGTACCTTTAATAAATTAAGCAATCCATCATTTTTAGTTAAAAAGTATACCTTGTAGAAAAAAATTAACATAGCTTAAAAGTGAGTGAACAATGTGTCATTTTATGAGCTTAACGTGTCATATGATATTTTTTAAGTAGGCCTAGGCTAATAAATTTAAATGGATACTGCTAATTAGAAAATGATCGAGGAGGAGGGGTCTACTTTTTCTTATATTTTTCTCCAATATTTATATATCTGAGGGGTTATTGAAAAGTTTGTGGACTAGCGCCATAAATCAAAACTATTAAAGGTACTTGGACACAGATTTGAAGTTAATATTTTCTCATTTTTTCTGTATAACATCACGAATTATATATTTTAATAGCACTTCACACAAAAATTAATTAAACTTTTTAATTAATTAATTAAAACTTTAAATTTTTTGGCGGGTTTGATTGACACATCCTTGCACTTTCATAAATTTTTATTTTATTCTTAATCCTTAGGAAAAGTGGCAATTTTGATGTGTTTTAATGAGAAATATTAAAACTTTTATCAAGAAAAATAATTTTATTCAGAGTAGAAATGTTAGAAAGCAAAACACCTTCACAAGGATCGTCATTCCGAACTAAGAGATGCGTGCAGAGTTTAGCAAATCGAGCACACTCGTGTTATGTACAGTTTTTGTAAACAGGGCTCGAGTTCTGTTATTGTTTATATTTAGAATTCACCGGGTGCGTTCAATCGTCACAGTCTGCTTACCACAACTGCACGGACTGACAATATATTGTGTGTTTGTTTTGCTTTCGAACGTGTCTACTCTGAATTTTCTGGATTATAGTATTAATATTTTTCATTTATACAAAACGAGATTGCCACTTTTCCTAAGGATTAAGAATAAAATTAAATTTGTGAGAGTGCAACGATCTGTCAATCAAACCCGCCGAAAAATTTGAAATTTCAATATCTTTTAAACGAAATAAGATTTTTAATTAATTTTTGTGTGAAATGCTATTAAAATATATAAGTCGTAATATTATAGAGAAAATAATAACTTCAAATCTGTGTCCAAGTACCTTTAAGGATCTACAGCAAACAAAGAGTTTTACACTTTGAATTGATTGTCAATGTTTTCGTAAGCAACGGAATTTGACAACGTAGCGCAACCTCAAAATAAGATGTTGTATTTCCACAGTGAATCTAACGGAGACAAATGAAAATTTCACATCCAATTTTTACCCATGTGGTGGGACACAATTGACAATTTTACCTTATTTTGATAATTTTCTGAGATCTTAACAATTTTAATTGTCCCCCGCTTGAAAAGTGGGGATATTAATTTGGGTTTGTCCGTCCGTCCGTCCGTCCGTCCGTCTTTCTGTCTCTCTGTAACGCTTTCGTTTCCACAAGATATCTCAAGAACCCTTTCAGCTTTTGCAATGAAAATTAGCATAGCAACTCCCTATGGACTAAAGAAGACCCGTATTGATTTTGAGGTCAAAAGATCAAAGGTCAAGGTCATAAATAAGCAAATTCTGTCTGTTATATAACACTTTCGTTTCCACACGACATCTCTAGAACCATTTGAGCTATTGCAATGAAATTTTACATAACAACTCCCTGTGGCCTAATGAAGACCCCTATTGATTTTGAGGTCAAAAGGTCAAAGTTCAAGGTCGTAAATTTATACATTCTGTCTGTGTGTAACACTATCATTTCTGGGCGATATTTCAAGAAGATTTTGAGCTTATGCAATATAATTTTATACCAAAACTCCCTAGGACCTCTCTCACCCCTCTCAAAGTGCCCCGCCCCGTTTGTTTTATTAGTATTTATAGTATTACATGTCGCTATTTTTAGCACAGGGGCATGAGGAGAGTAAAACAGGTTCTCGGCGGACTTTGTGTTCTTATTACATCTATTAGAACTGTTTAATAAAGGCTAAATAAATCAAACACCATGGATTGTGTAAAATTTTGAGAATACCGAACATGAATATATACATGTATGTGACTTCAGTTTTGCATATACTGATCATCATGGAAAGCGATTCCGTGGTCTAGTGGTATGTCTCTCGCGAAAGGTCCCGGGATCGAATCTCGGTCGATCTTTTTTTTTTTTTAAATACTTTTCTTTTTTACTAAATGATAGTATTCAACATGTGAAATGAAAAATTTATGAGGTTATAAAATCATCATTAGAGTGTGAAAAATATTCCATATAAAAATAATCTTCCATACACATAATAAAGAATAAGCAATCAAATCTTTATATGCATATTGACATACATGTATTTTATTTGCTTCATTATACATGTATACATTTAATAATTCTACAAATTCAGTCAGGGGGATCCAACTTTTTCCCTAAGCGGGGGACACGAATTCTCTGAATTAGCTTGTTCAAATTCTCTTGAGAGTGTAAAAAAGATGTCTGTAAGGGTTGGATTCAATAGCAAGAAAACTTAAAATTATAGCTTGTGATGGTCCAAGATCAAAATGCCTTTTGCTTTTCTTTGTAATGAATAAACTATATCACAAAATCAAAAGAAAATTAAGACCTATGCAAATGCCTTGGTTAAACAGTAAAAGTTTTGCGTTATAACGCGATAGTTTCCTGAAAAAAACATTACTATATGCATATAATTTCGCGAAATAACGCGAAAGTTACGCGTTTATTCGCTAAGGTTATAACGCGAAAGTTACATGTTATATCGCGAAAATTTCGCATTATATCGCGAAAGTACGAAAGTTTCGCGTTATAACGCTAAAGTTAAGCGTTATATTGCGAAAGTTACACGAAAAATTATTTTTTCTAACCTACGAAAATGAGCTCAATGGTCTTTCGTAAGTTCTCATAATAAAGACCAAAGAAAGCCGACATTTTATATACTTTAACAATACTCACGTTTAATATAAACAAAAATTTATTTATCTTTTTATATCATTTAATTTAATCGTACTTTAAAAATAACTGTGATTCACATTACATCTTAAGCAACGAAACAGAGAGATGACGAACGGTTACCGAGTATCAAGCTCAAAAGCTCACTGAAACAAACACCTCTAAACATTTGGGGCGGGATTAGGTGCCGAGGAGGAGTAAGCATCCCCTGTCGACCGGTCACATCCGCCGTGTGTTCATTAAAAGAATACAGGACTGGTTTGCTGTATAAAGACACAGATGTTCTCTATACCTTTATAATATCGATATACAATGTAACAACTTGGACATTTCGTAACTAAACGTACATGTAGATTTATAATACATTGAAAAAGACACCTACGACTGATAGATTTTAGAATCTTTTGATTATATATCCAAACTGATTACATGTACTGTGATGCAATAACCTGAATTCTTTTTGGGGGGTGGAGTTATATATTTGCATGAATGTGTTGTAAATTACATATATAGCATCACGTGCGAAATCCTTTTATAGATCTATCAGTCAGCTGCTCAGATGCCAACCCAATAAAGGTCAAGATGTCCATGATTCTGCCATTGCTTATTTTCAATAAAAATTTTAACACACAATTCATTTCTGAAAAATAAATCAATAAAAACTATTTGCCATGGTTTTTATTTCTTTAAAGGTGATTATCTTTTACAATTTACATGTATTAACTGCTTTGTTTTAATTTCATTTTATGCATAATACATGTAGGCCGTCTATTTCAATTACACTCACTTGGTTGTGTTTGAATATAAACTTTAATTTTAAGTTTTAATCAGTCTTCTTTTCTAAAGGAGCTTGGTTTTAATATTTTCTTTTTAAGCCAAACCCATAAGAACTAATTTCAGTTTAGGGGCACAGCCATACATTTACATTGGGGGGCACTATCGACTACCAAAAATTCCTTGATGAGCAAAAAAAAGGTCATCAGACATTTTTATTGAGGGGCCACAAGCATATAGTAGCTAAGTTTTTTTTTATAGTATTACATAGTACTATATATATATCAGCAATTATTGGGGGGGGGGTCTTACGACCATGTTAGCTCAATTTGGCTAAAATATTTTGATCATTTAATAGTTCTTGAGATCTGTTAATACATATAATCTATCTATGTTCATAAATGTATTTGTTTGATATAAGGAATGTGATTGATAAAACATGCTTTATATTTTCAGTGTTATGGCTTTCAGTTTGGTCCCTTGAAATCAAAAATGTAAAATTAATTCTTATCAAAATGTTACAAAAAATAAATTGATGTAAAAATTTCAATATCATATTACTGAGATGAGCACATTGCAGGACCCAGTATGACTATGTTAGTGCTTTACATGTACATATATATAGTTGATTGCACAATTCATTCTTCCTCCTGTTAAATATCTTTTATCACAACACACTTTTTCAAATAAAAACTAGAGGCACTGTGAGCACTGAGCTCACTAAATGATACCCCTGTCTCCCATATGATTGTAATGGCAAATTCCATATTTTGCTCTGGAGACTTGAAGTAGGTATCAGATGAAAAGGTAAAATAAAAGGTGCACAATTGCATTAGGGGAATATGTAATAAAGAATCTGTGAAAGTATCATTAAATTTTATTCAGTGGTATAGGAGGAGTTGCGAATAAGAATGGGTACCCTTCGATAATACATGTACACGTATTATTATTATCGAAAGAATGGCAGTCAGGCAGTATCCATGTTTTGGTTTGGGATACCCAAAATAATTAGGTGTTGGATCATAAAAGTAAAATAGGAACAACTATCAGTGGTAGAAGAGGAGTTGCAGGTAAGAGATGGTTACCCCAAAGTGTAAGTGACTGACAGATGGACAGAAGGATGGCTAGATGGACTTCTTTATCACTATATGACATCCCACTTTTCAAGTGGGTGGTATAAAAATACTTATCTACTTCAGTAATACAATTGATACAACATATGATATTAAAAAATATATGAGTGGAAAAGATACAACTAAGAATCCATATTCTTGCTACTTTTTCCTTATCAATATCTACAGGTATTCCTAATCCACATTTCAGATTACAAATGCCAAGAATCTCTTCAAATTTTTTTAAAGAAATTTTCACTCAGTTCTATACATTCATACTGACACCATGGACTTCAGAGTGAGCAATTAATCCTACATGCATTTCAAATGCATTTCCTGATCATCATTCACCGGAGAACATTTGAGTCCACAACACCTCTTATTCAAGAAATATCTAAAATGTAAAGAAACATTTAAATATTCAAGTATGTACACTTCAAACATTAGATTATCAATCATATTTACCAGCACATTTATGTATTATTATGATCAGATGACTTACATGTTTCTGTCCAAAATTTCTGTAACCATTATCATTATCTTCCATACACTGTAAAATAAAACTTTATTTAGCCATAGATACATAGGTACATCTATTTTATGTACAAGTGATCAGGTGATATTCATATAAAAGATGTACAAATACATGCACTAGAAATCAATTTACAAAGCATGTTAACAATACTACATGTAGTACATTTCCTACCTTGCTTACAGGAGCAGAGAAATTTTCCTCCGTTTAGTGGGATACATACATCCGTGGGCATCGGACAGGACCATGGTTTACATGAGACATTCACTTTACTGCTTCTTGGTTTGGGCACAAAAGCCGGACTAACCGCTGAGCTTGTAATGGTCATAGCTGCTGAGCTTTGTATTCGGACAGAGTCTTCAGTTTTTAACATAGTGTCATAGAGAGCCCACAGGGATGTCAGAGGTTCTGTGTCAAGGGCTGAAGTTTTAGACAAGCCATCTTGTTGAGACATGGAGACCTGAGGTTGAGATGTCAGAGACATGGGTGAAGAAGAAGCAATTTCTATAGATGAGGTTTTCTGATGAATTGTCTTTGAGGATCCAAGAAGTTTCAGCACATCATAATCTTCCTCCATTGTGCTGTATGAGTTCTGAGTAGTATATCGAGTCTGAGAAGGATTTATACTTCTGTTCAATATTGATTTATTATTTCTCTGTCCATTGAGAGACTGGGAGAATGAAGGCTGTATGAAGGATGGGTTATCACTGTTTTGAGGTTCACTAGAGGGGTAAGGTAAGGGAACAAACTGTACCCCATTTACCTCCCCTGTCGTTGTGTCTCCAGGCAGGGAGTCCAGTGAGGATAATGTGGTTGGTTCAAGACTAAATTCTTTCTCTGCAAAGAGCATAATTATTATAGGTTATATATTGACCAAATATGGTGTATTAGCCTTGCTTTGACTGAGTTGAAAGTATGTCAAACAATGATACTCAAATGAAAGAATAATATGGAAATGTGATGTTGCATACCAGATGTATTTTCTTTTTTAAAAACTGGGTGTAACTCCCCCCCCCCCCCTTCTTATTCCCAACTCAGAATAAATGCTGAAGAAAATAATTTTTCATTGAAGATTGACTGAATCTAAATGATGTTACATCACTCATAGCATTTTCTTTTGGGAACGATTCCATTTGGTTTGATCCTAGCTCCCTAAGAACAAAATGGTTATCAGGTCCAGGAAAATCCCTATAATTAGCTATATAGCTAAATCTACCTATATAGCTTTATTTACCTATATAATATAGCATTATTTTAGCTATTTCAGAGTAAATTTCTGTTTTATGAAAAGCAGACAAAAAGTCGCATAATGAGACAGTATTAGTTTACAACTTTAAAATGGACTGAAAACAATTTACCAAAAACCCACTTCTAACTATGTTTTTCCTTTTGTGCAATTGCAATCAAAGATCTAAAAGTTTTGGGGCTATGTATAACAGTTAAGCTGTGATTTAGCAGCTACTTTAACAAAGAAAAGCAGTTTTGGTCAACAAGATAATTGATTGGTAATAATTCAGCACAATGCAAGGCAATCACACTTAGTCATGCCTCATCCCACTTCCAGTGAGGGACAGCTATCCAAACAATAGAGATGCCTTTTTTGGTTAAAAATTGTTTAAAAGAGGCAATGTTTTTACTATCTATGCCCTAGGTTGTTTTTATCAAACCTTTTAAAAAAATATCAGCCATAATTTTCATGCGACTTTTTGTCTGGTTTTCATAAAAAAGAAATTTATTCTAAAATAGCTAAATAAAGCTATATTATATAAGTAAATAAAGCTATATAGATAAATTAAGCTACTATAGTATACAGCTAAATATAGTGATTTTCCTGGACCTGGTTATTCGTCAACAATGGGTCACCGATAATTTATATGCTGGCCTCATTTGAATTATTACCATGATAAATGTTATTTTAATAGATTACACATCCATGCAGTATTTTGCTTTATCTGATTAAAATAAATTTGGAAGTCGTTACTGTACCTGATTGTACTTCATGTGCACAAGAACTAATGTAAAACATCAAAAAGCTACAGGCAGTCGAAACTTTCATGTTACTAGCTGTCACTGGATCTTTTGCAAAGAATATCTCGTCATTGATCAGATATTAACAAATCTGCTGTCCAAAACTCTAAATTCAAGGCATAAACGCGGCTAAAACTGATAGTAACATGTTTTCTGAAACGTCGTGTCTACTTTCACTTTAAAAGGTCTCCTCTCTTGAAGGCGTGTTTACACTATAAGTCGAATTTCCTCTGAACCATTACCTTTTTACAAACTAACCAAATAATTTTAAAGGTGGAAATGAATTTGTGTAAAGTATTGCCTTGATATTACCTAGGGTAAGGTTTCAGCACATATAGGCCTACTTGCTCCAACCGAGTAATATAACTAGTGAATTAAAATTCATACTTGTACGAAATACGGAAACAACGCGTGTTGTTTTAGTATTTCGTATATGACATTCTAATAGGTAATAGTATTACACGCCGGGAACAAGCCCCGTGTGTTTTTATCAAAGATGTGAATAACGTGTTATATATCTTGCTTAACTATGCCGGTGTTTAAAAACCTAAAACGCATAAAGTACTTGTAAGTTTGGTGTTTTGTCATCAGCAGATCAGTGCTCCTGTACTCCCTGATTAATATACAGGTGTATTCATGGTATTATATTTACATTCAGTGTAATTTTCCTTATGAAATCCATTAGAAATCCACGACTTTTTCTATAACACACGCAAAACCTTGTCACCAGGGTTAGAATACACAGTGGAACTATTTTTTTCAACTCTAAGAACATTAAAATGTAAAATGTTTTATTTCAATTTAATGAAAAACTTGAACCCAGAAAAATTAACGTAAAAATTAACATAATGTGCAGGTTATGTGCTTTAAGAATTAATTTGTCACTTTTTTACTCGCAATGTTTGTTTGAGTCATTTAACTTTGCAACGTCATCTAAAGTCATTTGACGTTACAAACAGCTCTTACATCTATTAACCAAGACAGTTTTGAAGGGCGCTAAATTCACATTTGATATTAACGAAATAAGCAATTATGAAGATGGAAAATTAGGAACAATGGAATTACATATTTTTGGTTTCCAAACACACCTGGTTACCTACCGCGTTAACACGCGGTATGTGTGGATTACGGCCAGGTGTGCTATAGGACCGAAGACATCCAAAAATATGAATTCAAAGCTTAAATAACTTTAATAGTGAACATGGTGACCATGGTTGGACAATTGATGGATGATTATTACAAAAATATTTTTTACAGGGAAAAACTCGACATTACATAAGAAGGTCGAGGCTCTATACATGTATATTCCACTTGATGAACTACAACGTTGATACAGCAATGCTTCCACGATACAATTTCTTAAGGAACTGTCTATCTTGCTGGTCTCCTATGTCATCTGTTACCAGAGTACCAGCTATGTGGTGGAACAATGGTTATAGGTTTCCAATGGTTACCTGTTCTCAGATGTGTGGATTACGATGGATACAAGCCATTCAGAAACAATACTGTAGCTCCAACTCTAATCCAGGGACCAAAGTGGAGGAAAATCCATATTATGAAAAATACAAAGCAAAACTACAGAATCTAAAACAGTAAATATATCTTCATACATTCTATTATAGTTGTATACACCAATGTAAAATTAATGCTCCATAGATTGAATATGTATGATTTTGTGTGTTAATTGTTTTGGCATTTGTTTTTCTGCAGTTATTCATCTTAATTTTTCATCATAAAAGTAAAGATTTCTTAAATGGGTTGGTATGACTAGACAAATGCCTATATTGCACCTTTTCATTGGTCCAAGATAATGCATAGACTCTGAGGTAATATGCAAATTTTTATCTTTTGATATTTACCATCCCAATAGAAGGATCATTGAATTTGTGCATTTATGAAAAAAAAATACATGATTGTGTATTGTAATAAATATGTTGTCATTGATAAAGTGATTTATTTTGCCTAGGAAGGATCATTGATAAATGAGATTTATTTAGGTCAGATCCAGAGAGATATGCTGCCAAATTAAATGAACTAGAAGAAAAAGAAAGAGAAAAAATAGAACAGATGAAAAAAGACTTATCAACACCACCAGACATTGACAAAGAATCATTTAATAAAGATGACCAGAAATTCAGTGGTTCATGGCCTCCTAAGGTTGTTTCTAATCAGTGTCCTATACTTTTTTCTGTAGTGAAAATTATAATACCTTTTCTGAAAGTTACTGTACATGTGTATATGAAAAAAATGACATTTAGGCATATCAGACTATCAATTTGCTTCTCTATCATTATAGAATCATTTTTTTATTTTTCAGAGTCTAAATGAGATAATGAAGGTGGATTTAATTAAGGACAAATCGGCAACAGAAATTGAACAGGTAGGAGATTTGTTAAGATGTTATTTAACTTTCTAACTGCAAATCCTCTGTACTAAGATATTCTAATTAATTCATTACAGATTTGGAAAGAGCACCATGTGACAAAGGACTGTGTATTTGGTGTGATACAGGTATGATCTACATCTGTGATGAGTTAAATTGCAGTTATAAACTGGTTTAAAATGTTTATTGTCAAACAGTAAGGATTGAAGCATAAGTGAAGCAAACTTTTAAAATGAAATTCATTTTCAAATGAATGAATATTTTTGATACATACTAACAAAAGTTTATTTTTAATACAGGGAGGAAATTATGATGATGTAAAACAGAAAGCTCAACTTTGTCCACTGGTAAGATTCACTCATTTTCTTCCAGTCTTTTTTACATCTAGAATGAGCTTATACATGTATATCATAAGATTTTTAGCTTATCCAGGAGAAAAACCAAAATGATGAGGTTTTGTAATTGAAGACATGTTTTTTCAGTTTATCTATCCCTTACCAAGGAACGATGGTTATGAGTTTATCCTGTCACAGTTTGATGGCAATGTGATCTACTTCACCCCTCTAGCGGTATACCAGTCATTCAAAGAGAACGCTCCTCCATGTCTAACTGTGGCACACTTCACAGAATTCAAAGATGATAAAGGTAAAATGAAATGTATTGATACCCAGGAATTGATACTGGTAGTCTGTTGAAGGTTTGCTTGTCAGTTTCAACTCTGTCCTCCATAATGATCTAAATTAAAGTAGCAATTATTGACTTTGTGTTAGTAAGAACATTTCTTCAGCACAGTGCTTACTGAATGGAGATAGGGGTTCTTTATTTGCTGAAAGATATGGGTGTACTGTTATTACAAGATACATTCATCTTATTTTTTTTATTATTTTAGGAATTGTTTTAATGGCAGGACAATATGATGACAAGATTTTGGTAAGTTCATAGACTTTTTTAATACATGTATTAAAATAGCATGACTGTATTTGAACATCTTTACATGCACATGTACATATACCATGTCTTAATGTTCTGTACTAACTGTGGATATTGGCTTGGATAGCTCAGTGGTTAGAGCACCTGACTAGTAATGCTGGGATCCCGGGTTAGATTCCTGGTCCAGCCAACTGTTTTCTTCCTGCATTTCTCCTTTCCTACTACATTTGGTGGCCAGTGTGGGGGGCCTATGTCTCAAATTACAGTGTAATAAAATTAAAGAAAATTCCATGGCAGGGCCCTAGAACTTGTGTCTTGGAGGTTGGTTCTCTCTCTCTTGAAGACTGTTTAAGGAGGGAGGAAACTGTAATGACTGGGCTTTACGGATCCGTGGATATTGGCCTGGATAGCTCAGTGGTTAAAGCACCTAACTAGTAATGCAGGGTAAGATTGATGACTCTTTACCTCCATTTTTAGGGTTTTGCTTTTTTTTGCCAATGTAATTTCTCCTTTCCTGCTACACTTGCACATGTACATATACCATGTCTTTATGTTCTATACTGTTTTCTTTCTTATGGAATCATCTAGTCTTAGAATCATCACTTTTTTTCTTTATTTGTCATTCTTGTCTGCAAATTCATAAAAAAATAAATAAATTTCAGTCTTCAGTATAGTTCAATTATCCATGGTATACTTTTAAAAAGATTTGTATTGAATGATAAGCAGTCCTGTTTTTTTAATTGGTCTGAAAAAAAATATTAATTTGGAATTCTTAGGTATCTTAATGTACTCTACTTGTGTGTCAAGTACATTTTTTATGGAAAAAAAACTGGGACTGTAAATTGACTACTGTTCAAAGAGTGCTGTGTTTGGGGCTGCTTTTGATATCAGCATGATAGGCTGTACTATTTATGGTATGTTAGTTTTTGTTATTTTTCCCTTTATCTCTTTACAGACAAAGAATGAGTCGCTGAACTTAATGAAGCAGATGTCCATATATTACGGGAAATCTTCAACCGACAAATTTAATGCTGTCAGAGTGTTTAATCATCTACCTGAAAAATTCAATTATTTGGACATGATAGAGAATTATAAATTCATGAAAGAAGACTTGGAAAATTATTACACATAACCTAATGAAACGATTTTTAAAAAAATAAATTGCCATTAAAATTTAAACAATGTGTTGTGTTCTCTCTCTCTGGCAAAGTATGCAATATGAGTAAACTGATGAATGAAGTGATTTTTAAATCTTATTAGTTTACTGAGTCTGACTAAAGTATGCATTGCAAAATTTAAATCATTTTATGGGAAATCAATTAGAAATGGAATTCACATGACGTGTAATTTTTAATGTTTTTTGTGAATCCTAATTAAAGCACAACTGGTAGAATAGATCATGGATAGATACTGGAATAAGATTGATGACTACAGAGACCTACATATATACTGTACTATATAGTATTATTGTCACAGGGGCCAGTAACGCCTCTGTGAATATAGTATATATAGGTCCCTGATGACTCCTTATACCTCCCTTCATTTTTTTTTCTAACTCAAATAAATCTTTCAGTGAAGTAAATAATGTGTGCATGATCAGATTTGAATTAAATATGGTCTTGCAATGGCATAAAAATATACTCCCTGAGAGGGGCACTTTATAGGGATTGAAATTAACTTTTCCTATTTTTGAAGTATAATATTTACTGCAATGGCGCACCATACAGAAAAATTCAAGCGTCTGAACTGTAGAGATTAAGCGTCTACGCAACAAAGATGATATGGCGATGAAAGATGACGTCTACATCCCTCTCATCACGAAAAGGTCCGATTTAAAGCCAGTGGAGGGCAAATATTGGACGAGGTTAGTTTGGCTGAAGTCATCAGTAATAATATGATTCAAAAAATAATAACTGCAGTGAACTTTAAGACAGCATAGCGACAGAAAGCGTTTTACATATTTTAACTCGAATTTTCTCTCGTAAAAATATCTGCAATGACCAGGGCAAAGTTATAATTTTGAAGGCTGTCATCTACGAGAATTCATTTAGGTCACATAAATTGACAGAAAGTAAATAATTTTCAATGGTAACAATGCATATTATATAAAGCATATGAATTTAAAACTACCTGAAATAAAATTTATAAAGACAAGCCATCCTCCATTTGGTCTACAAAAATCATGCAAAACTACAAAATTTATTAACCCATTATGTACAATATAAAAAATTCAGAAAAACCCCTAGAGAAATATAGACATTTGTTTGGAATTGAGCAGGTCCGAGAAAATCACAATATTAAGCTATATAGCTGAATTTATATATGTAGCATTATTAACATATAATATAGCTTTATTTAGCTATTTTAGAATAAGTTTCTGTTTTATTAAAAGCATACAAAAAGTCGCATGAAAATTATGGCTGATATTGTTTTTATAAGGTTTGATGATAATAACCTAGGGCATGGATTGCCTCTTTTAAACACTTTTTAACCAAAAAGTGGATCAAACTCCAAATTACATGGAGATCTCCCTCAGCAGAATAAACTTTAAACTTTCAGATGAAATGCACAGGCAAACTGTTTATCATCATTGTCTTCTGCGGTTATTTATCTGCATAGGCCAACACGCAAAATTTTTTGCGCACTGTTTGGGAGAATTTTGAATTTCATCCATGGTAGATAAGTTAAATAATTTGTTGATTTCACCATATAAATTAGTTTCAATGAATTATGCCAATTACTGTATACATGGTTATTTTCGCCCATCTTATTTTCACCCTTTTGCACTTGCAAAAAATTTTGCCCCGTTTGAAGTTCACCCATTCATAGTTCTGTTTAAGAATTTATGCTGTGTAATTTAAATTCGCCCTGTTTTAAATTCGCCCTATCAATAAGAGCGCGAAAATAAAACGGGGTCAAAAATTTCCCTGTATACAGTATATTTAAGACTGTACATAGAGTTTCTGTCATTCTGTATCATATGAATATTGGAACATCATTTTCATGTTTTCTTTTAAAGAGCCGAAAGGAAACAATGGGCATCTGGTCTGTTTATTGGATGTGCAGTCTTATACGCATGTCGGACAGTTACTCCATTGTGTGTGTCAGCCATGGCCAAAGAGATGGGGTGGGATAAAACTCAATCAGTAAGTTTGCTGTTAATTTATTTGTACAGTTCAATAGACGTACAGTATAAACTGTCTAATCCAACTCCTGTGTATTATTTTTCACCCTGAATTCCTTTATTTTCATCAATTTTTCAGGTCCTTTACATTGGGAAATCTGACAACCCTTCTTGTAGTCTTGTGTATGTTGGATTAGAAATTTCATTGAACTTAAAAATTGTTATTAATTGCATTGTTATACCCCCCGCAAACGAAGTTTTGGGGATATATAGGAATCACGTTGTCCGTCTGTCCGTCTGTCTCCGTCTGTCTGTCCGTCTGTCTGTGCAATCGTGTCCGGTCCATATCTTTCTTACAGAGGGACATTAGAATCTACTACTCCACACTAAGATTGCTCATAACCTAAGGGTGTGTCATGACCTTGACCCAAGGTCATTTGGGGAAGTTCAAGGTCACTGGAAGAAAAATTTCAAAAAATTCGTGTCCGGTCCATATCTTTCTTATGGATAAACTTGGTAGGTTCTCATTTCACACAAAGATTGCCCATGACCCAAGGGTGTGTCATGACCTTGACCCAAGGTCATTTGGGGAAGTTCAAGGTCACTGGGAGAAAAATTTTCAAAATTCATGTTTGACACATATCTTTTATGGATAAACTTGGTAGGTTCTCATTTCACACAAAGATTGCCCATGACCCAAGGGTGTGTCATGACCTTGACCCAAGGTCATTTGGGGAAGTTCAAGGTCACTGGAAGAAAAATTTCATAATTCGTTTCCGATGTTTTATCTTTCTTATGGATAAACTTGGTAGGTTTTCATTTCACATAAAGATTGCCCATGACCCAAGGGTGTGTCATGACCTTGACCCAAGGTCATTTGGAGAAGTTCAAGGTCACTGGTAGAAAAATTTCATAATTCGTGTCCGGTCCATATCTTTCTTAAGGATAAACTTGGTAGGTTTTCATTTCACTCAAAGATTGCCTATGACCCAAGGGTGTGTCATGATCTTGACCCAAGGTCATTGGGGAAGTTCAAGGTCACTAAAAGAAAAATTTGATAATTCGTGTTTGATACATATCTTTATTATGCAAAAACTTACTTCTGAAAAACCCAGTGGGGGGTATTTTGTCCTGATTGGACAGTTCTAGTTAATGTTGCTTCTTTTGTAGGGATCAGTACTTTCCTCCTTTTTCTGGGGGTACACCATGACCCAGTTCCTGGGTGGATATTTAGCTGATAAGATAGGAGGAGATGTCATTTTACCTATTGTAGCAGTATTCTGGTCCATGATTACTTTCTGGACTCCACAACTTGTCAATCTGTCCACAGACAAAAACCTCACCATACAGATCATTGTTGTCTCACGGGTGTTCCTTGGCATGTTCCAAGGTAAGGCATCAGACTTATACATCAACTCATTCAATAAAAAATATTCCATCACATCTCATAGTCTCGTTTCACCCCTATCAATTGGACAGTTTCACTTATTGAGATGTATTTTATTATTGCATTTAATATGTTATTTCAATTATTTATTATGATTTACATATTTTTAATCAATACATGTAGATTTAATTTGAAGTTTAGAAAACATATAAATTATGAGTTTTATGGACCAAACTTCAAATGAAACTGTTATAGCTCATTTTGAGCATGCTACTTAACTGGTAATTTTTCAAACAAAATACATTGTCTTAAAATACAACGAATTTTAGGTGGATCATGAATATGCTTAAGATATCAAGCACTTGCCTTTTCATATAAGGGTACATTTGTTTTCATACCTTTAATTTGAGATTGATCCCTTATATGGTTATATGTAGGAGGCTACATGCCTAGTTCTATCAGCATTCTGGGTCAGTATGTAGGAGACCCGGTCAGGTCGTACTACTGTGGTCTGATTACGTCAGGGCAGTACGCCGGGTAGGTCCCCAAGGGTTGTAAAATCAGTGGTTATCTGTACTGCAGTGATCAGACAAGAACTTCTGTTTATTTCAACCAGTCTTTAATTTTTATAACGTCAGTTGATTAATTACATTTTTTAGCAAAAACTCTTGTAAATATGCAAATAAAGAAAAATTTTTAAAATTTTTCTATGACTTATCAGGCTAAATATGATACATTTACAGTAATTAGTAAAGACAAGATCTTTGACATTTTTGTAGGGAACATCCTCTGTATATATATATATATATATATACCATATAGAATCATTTTACTTAAATTTAACTTTATTTTTAGATTTGTAGAACATGGACAAAGCTGGCAGTCCCCCTTTCTCTCTTTTGTGGGAAGCATTGTTCATCTTTCTCTGACTTCCTGTAATATCTGTAGATATCTAGAAATATTTCCACTATAGACCTGAGCATGCTTTATCTTGCTTTATTTGTTTGCAGGGTTCCATTATCCCAGTTTTAGCTCCATTATGTCCAGGAAAGTTTCTGACCAGGAGCGCTCTTTCACCTATAGTTTTATTTGTTCTGGATCTCATTTTGGGTAATGAACAGTATTGAATACTTCTTTATTTTTTTCTAAAGATATTTATGTACAGAAATTCTTATACTGATTATTAGGTTTTCTTATTTATGACCTTGTAAATTAACAAAAGTAAACTTAATTTACTTTGTCTACTGTTTTATGTTAAATTAATATACACATCTAGAACTTATACAATTATATTTGAAAAAAATTTTAAAAATTGTTCATTCCACCCAACAAATCTCTCTAGCTTGCTTCTTTTAATTTTTCTGATTTGACAATTCTTTCACATTTACTACATGCATCCTTTTAAAAGTGGTCCTTGAATCTTGAAAAAAGTTAAATAAAATGGCAGAAAAAAGCTTTGCATTTCCTAAGTAATTGTTAGACAAAGGCTCTTTCAAGTGATGTAGCCATCAATAATACATTACAAAGCTGGGTTATATCAATAATAATCAAAACACTAATATATTTACATTTTGTTGTCAATTATAATCAGAATCAATAATGAATACATTGTTTATAAATTCTGACATAAATCAATGTAAATGCACTGCATGTGTTGGTTCCTGGTATTCAGGTTGTTGACTTTGACAAGAATCTTTTATCATATAGTCTTAACTTATTTGTTATACATTTACATTTTAGCTATTTGATACTGTGTAAATAAACTAAATTCAAATTTTGTACAATAAATTAAATTCATATTTTCTTGCGCTATACTCATTTATTTTATCAGAAAATTGAAATTTATTTTTGGAATTCAAAGGGAGTAAATAAGCATGTTTTTTTTTTAAATAGGTCTTAATGTCTTTTGTAAGAAAATCTTTTTATTTTTATCAAGTACATTTTTTGTATACTTTGTAATTGAAAATTATAAGGTTTGTAACGATACATGTAGTTTACTTTTTGTTTTTTAGTACTTTACTATGTGGAAGTATCGGATCTATTCTTTTAGAAAGCTTTGGATGGCAGAGTGTTTTTTATTTTGTTGGTAAGTACTGAGATCATTTGTTATGATATGGAAACTTTAACTTTTGAGATTTGTTATCACTTTGGACATGTACCCTCTGAATTATGTATTGTTGCAGGTTTGTGCAGTATCCTATGGATGCTGTGTATGAGGTATCTAATTATAGAGAGACACCGGAGGAAATACCTCCAGCCCCCCACCCTCACCGTCAGTGACAACACCGTCCTGGCCGAGAAATTCCCCGAGAAGAAATCTGTGCCATGGTTGATGCTCTTTGTTAAACCAGCATTCTGGTATGTTGTCTCTTTATTTAGGGTCCCATTTAAAACCAGCATTATCTCTTTTATTCAGGGTCCTAGTTAAAAATGCAAGAGTTAAGATTGTAATCACTGTGTCTGTCTATCTGTTCAGACATATTTTCTACTACAGTGTGGGATTTTTAGGTTTGTTCGTTTTTTGGTTATTCATTTATAGGAAGCATTATATTTCAGGTCCCTGTTGGTAGGACATTTCTGTGAAAACAATGCATTTTATATCTTGCTGTCTTGGTTGCCAACATATTTCCATGAAAATTTCCCAGATGCAAAGGTATGTACTGAAATTCTGTTTTGAAGGGTCACTGAAAATTCATTGATTATTTTTATTGGTTTTTCATAAATTGTACAATGATTAAAGACCATAATTAGTTAATTATATATTTTGTCATACAAAACTCAAATCAGTTAATGTTATATTTTACCATATTAAGAATAACGTAATGTTAGATGTTCGATAACCTGAGTGGTAGGTAAATCATTCTTTCTGTTTTAGGGCTGGGTGTTTAATGTGAAACCCTGTATGGTGACCATTATATGATTCATTCTTTCTGTTTTAGGGCTGGGTGTTGAATGTGGTACCCTGGGTGGTGACCATTATATAAGGTTCAGACTTTCTGTTTTAGGGCTGGGTGTTTAATGTGGTACCCTGGGTGTTGACCATTATACAGTTCATTCTTTCTGTTTTAGGGCTGGGTGTTTAATGTGGTACCCTGGGTGGTGACCATTATATAAGGTTCAGACTTTCTGTTTTAGGGCTGGGTGTTGAATGTGGTACCCTGGGTGGTGACCATTATACAGTTCATTCTTTCTGTTTTAGGGCTGGGTGTTTAATGTGAAACCCTGTGTGGTGACCATTATATGGTTCATTATGTCTGTTTTAGGGCTGGGTGTTTAATGTGGTACCCTGGGTGTTGACCATTATATGGTTCATTCTTTCTGTTTTAAGACTGGGTGTTTAATGTGGTGCCCTGGGTGTTGATCATTATGCGATTCATTCTTTCTGTTTTAGGGCTGGGTGTTTAATGTGGTACCCTGGGTGGTAACCATGCTTAGCTCCATCTTCGGCGGCTGGCTCGCTGATTACATGTTGTCTAAAGGTCAGTATATAAACCAATATACATGTATATTCACCAGAATTGCTCTACATGTATTGATTTAAAAGTCAAATACCTAGTAGCATGAAATTTTATCTATGTTAATACAGTGTAATCATATGATGTGTTTTACAAATTAAGTACCCAGTAATAAGTTAATTTTTAAAATCACTATGCTTACATTGCTCACCATATTAACTTACCTTATTGATACTGTATACAGGGTTATTTTTTTCCCCCTTTTGCTCTTGCGAAGGATTTTACACTGAATTTTGCCCAGTCAATGTTATGTTTAAGAAATTATACAGTGAATTAACCCCATTTTAAATTTGCCCACTTGTGATTAGGGCAGAATGGTGCAAAAATAATTTCCTATGTAGCTTGTAACACGAGCTCAGATTGGTTACAGAGTTGGGTGTAAATTTCTGTGCACCCGACTTGAGCTGGGGGTAAACAGAACATGATGTCACAATGCATAATCTTTCTATGATGAAAAGCAAATGACATGATCATGATGTCAAGGTGCATCGTAGTACGTTGTAAATCTTATCAATGGGTTGGGACACGGTTGATTGGACTCTGATGTTTACAAAGAATTTACTTGGAACATAGGAAATAAATTTAAATTAATATCCAGGTCAAGGGTGTACAGGGATTTACCCTGAGTTGTATTCTATACACCCTTTGGCCTTCGGCCTCAGGGTGTATGGAATAAAACCTGGGGTAAATCCCCGTACACCTTTGATTGAACCTTGCTAAATAATAATATTTACATTTGCATTATTCTTCTTAGATGAACCTATTGAAGAGAAAACATGTTCAATTCTATGTGAACTTTATTTGTGGGTCAGAGGTCATAGGGCCACCGAATCGCTCGGCGAGGTGATATCCTGTTTACATATATTTCTATTTTTTGAACTACCAAATTTAACGAGGCCCGATCTACTTGATCTGCGCATACATTTTAACGCAGTGTCGACTCAGGCATGTCACAATACCCTTGAATGCCGTCACAATTGAACACATAACGTCACAATTAAAATGACGTCAAATTGCGCTAAAATGTTTCGCTGATCTTGCTTACCTGGTAGCTCTATAGACTGTGCATGATGAAAGCTGGCATTTCTATTATTTACATTTTTAAGAATATCTGTTTAAATTAATAAACAACTTTGGAACATAATTTATTTTGAAGGATCAATATTTTGGTACAGATTCATTAATTTTATCCTGTTTTATTTCAATTTGTGAGTTTACAAAACAAACATTGAAACCAAAAGTAAACGATTTTAGTCTTTCTCCTTGAACATGTTGAAGTGTTTATACACACTCTTTTTATTGAGGACTGAAATGTGCATGGATTAGCTTCAGTTTTAAAAAAATAAGTCTATAAATCATTTCTGTTAAATGCAACCCCCGAAATATTTTATTTTTCTATATATATCACATGATATTAGTAAAAAACGTAAATTTTTTTTCGCCTTTAACCCCCCCCCCCCCCTCTACCCCTCTTTTCCATGTAAAACAACGTCGCGTTTTCAGAGAAAAATAAAGCATGGCGAAAAAATTATTTCATGATGTAAGAACTATTTATTTATTTATTAGAAACTAATACAGTATTGCAATCGTTTGTTGATGTTATGCAAACCCATTGCGACTTATAATATACCTAGTTGGATTAAATAAATCCAAATTTTGTGTTTTGACATGCCCCCTTTTCACTGCAATAAAGACTACCTCCTATTTTCTTTTCATTTTTTATAATAAGAATGAAAATTGCATGATATATGTGAAAAACAAAGCATTTCATCGTTTATTTTTTTTTAATTTGTCAATTTCTTTGTTTATTGGAGAGTTTTAGTATGTAATTGTATATAAAAACACGAAAAATGGTCCATATCTTGACAGTGCCCCCATTTGACTTCAATAAAGGCAAGGTATCAAAATTTTATTTTAATTTTTCTTGGCATAAAACATACAAATATATTTCCAAGAATTAAAATTTTTTATCAATCCGTTTTCGTAATTTTCAACTAGACCGGCCCTCGTTAAAGCGATGAAAAAGATAAAATAACTGACACATATAGATATTTTCATTCAACAGATGTTCAGTAGATCTTCCTTTGGTGTGAAGAATGTTTTAAATACTATAATTACAGCCTAAAATCGGACTTACCTTTTTAACCTGATATTCCTTTGAAGTTATGTTAACTTTTAAAACTGGGGATATCACCGCTTTTGACTTCAAATATATTAAAAAAATCATAAAAAAGTAAGATTATTCTCAGTGGGGATCATTGTTCTTACATTATAAACACAGAATTCTTGAACTGGACTGCTGAACATCATTGTAAATATTCAAGTGTTGGAGAAAAACGGACTTTTAAACCAAACAACTTCTAGGCCCCCTAGGTCTAGGTCATTGCACGTCACAACATAGCAATAGGACGACCTGTTTGTGTAATAAATACAGTTTTATTCGGAATTCGTGCAGAGCGCCCTTGATTTCCACGCCCCATGAAAATGATATAATCAATAGTACGAGGCAATCTATGATGTAAGCAACTTGTTGCATGTCTGATGACGTAAATTTCGTTGAGAGTGTCAAAATTAAAAAAAAAATGTTGGCCTGATTTCTGCCTCCTGCAGTGATATATGAAGGGGCGTGGAAAGTATTATCGCATATGTGATATGGGATATATTACCACAGAAAGATCAAAGAAAATCACCGCAGATATGCGACAATTAATAATGTCCCTGTATACAGTATGTGTGAGTTTACTATTAAAATAAAATATCTCAGAATTGCCACGAATTTTACTTACAGGATGGAGTGTAACATTTGTCAGAAAATTCATAGAGGTAAGGTGATTTAGTGCCCAGAGTCTGTGCTGTTGATTAATGGAAGAATCTTCTATTTAGCTGTTTGGATTATATTCAGTTGAATTGCTCACTTTTTGGGGTTACTTTCAGTCTATAGCCCTGTGTGGTACTGCCACAGCATTAGTACTTCTGTCTTACACTAGTACTTATGGGTCTGCTCTAGTGTTGATGGCTATTGCTGTGATGTGTTGTGGTTTCCACAACAGCGGGATACTGGTGAACCCTCAGGATATAGCTCCTACTCACGCAGGATCTGTCTTTGGTAAATATATGTGTATAAATCTAACACATGTTATACACTTTGTTTGCCCACACTGTTGCAGTTATGAGACTATATCTTGCAAAAAAAAATGATTCAATGATTTAATTAAGAAATCATTTTGCTGAGTTTTTTAGCTCACCTGAGCCGAAGGCTCAAATGAGCTTTTCTGATCACATTTTGTCCGGCGTCCGTCTGTCCGTCTGTCTGTCTGTCTGTAAACTTTTCACATTTTCGACTTCTTCTCAAGAACCGCTGGACCAATTTCAACCAAACTTGCCATAAAGCATCCTTGGGTGAAGGGGATACAAGTTTGTTCAAATGAAGGGAGATAATTGGGAAATAATGAAAATTTGGTGGCATGTTTTAAAAATCTTCTTTTCAAGAACCACTGTGCCAGGAAAGATGAAACTTATGGGGAAACATCCTCAGGTAGTGTAGATTCAAGTTTGTTCAAATCATGACCCTTGGGAGTAGGGCGGGGCCAAAATGGCCGACCAAAGTTTAATATAGAAATATATAGGAAAATTCTTTAAATATCTTCTTCACAAAAATGACAAAGCCATAATTCATCATATTTATATGGAAGCATCCTCAGGTAGTGTAGATTCAAGTTTGTTCAAATCATGACCCCCGGGGGTAGGGCAGGGCCAAAATGGCCGACCAAACTTTTACATTGAAATATATAGGAAAATCTTTTAAAAATCTTCTTCTCATGAATGACAAAGCCATAATTCATCATATTTATATGGAAGCATCCTCAGGTAGTATAGATTCAAGTTTGTTCAAATCACGACCCCCGGGGGTAGGGCAGGGCCAAAATGGCTGACCAAGGTTTTACATAGAAATATGTAGGAAAATTCTTTAAAAATCATCTTCTCATTAATGACAAAGCCATAGCTTTTGGATTATATTTACCGTTATATGGAAGCATGCTTTTAGTGTAGATTCAAATTTGTTCAAATCATGACCCCCGGGGGTAGGGCAGGGCCAAAATGGCCGACCAAGGTTTTACATAGAAATATGTAGGAAAATTCTTTAAAAATCATCTCAAGAATGACAAAGCCATAATTTATCATATTTACCGGTATATGGAAGCATCCTCAGGTAGTGTAGATTCAAATTTGTTCAAATCATGACCCCCGGGGGTAGGGCAGGGTCAAAATGGCCGACCAAGGTTTTACATAGAAATATATACCAAAATTCTTTTAAAAATCATCTTCTCAAGAATAGCAAATCCATGATTGGTCATGGGACTACTTTGGATTTAAACTTTTCAATAATAAACCAATTTCTACTTTTTCCTAGCCACAGTGCTCAGGTGAGCGATGTGGCCCATGGGCCTCTTGTTTATTATGTGTTATATTTACTGTTTTAGGTATTATGAATATGGCAGGTGCTGTTCCCGGTGAGTTGATATTCATTAAAGGCAAACATTAATAGAAGAAAGAAAAACATAATTCACGATGTATTATATCGAATTCCATTGACTTACTGGGTTGTGTTTACATGTATATATAACTTTGTCTTTTAGGCTTTGTTGGTGTGTACTTGGCGGGCCATGTACTGGAAGCCACCAAAAGCTGGGGAGCTGTGTTTAATCAAACTGCTGGGGTGTGCATGTTTGGATGGCTGGTTTTTATGATATTCGGGACTGGAAAACGTATCGTGTAATACATATCTTGCCTTGTACATGTATGTGAAATCTTGACTCTGGTGTGATATGTGAACATCTGCAACTGTATTTATTTATGAGGTGAACTGAGAAATAACATAAGAGTTGAAAGATCAACAAAAGTGAGAAAGGGGGAAAAGTTTCATCAGTTTTGTGACCTGTCAAGTCTTTCACTACAGCAAATGTTTGAAAATTGTGCTTAGTCTTTAAGGCAGTTGTGATTTTTTTTTTATCTGAAGAGAAATGCTCATATATTGTGTACTTTTTGATACATGTATCATGTGTCAGAGAGATGGAGAAATTTGAAACTGACCAATCAAGAATTAAGAATTTTTAGACTCATTGTTCGATACAAACTAAAGCACACAAAATCATGATGCCCCTGTGTGACAGAATAGTTTTTATAAACCTCACGGCATCTACAAGAAGGTTTGTGACGATATATGTTGTAGTCAGTGAAAATAGGCATCTAATTATCAAAGCACATATTGCCTTCTGTTGGTACCTATGTACTTTCACTGGCTGAAAAAATATGCTTTGACATAAAGACACAAATGTTATACCGGGGTATGTATGTTAGGAGGGATTTTGTGGGAACTGAATGTAAATTTTGTTTTGTAGAAATGTTTGCTTACAAAAAAGTGTATTTATATAAAGTATGTGACAATAACTTCTGTTTGTTTCAATTTGATTGTACCAGTTGTATGTTTTTAACTTGCAACGTGTTGAGGAAGGGCTGTCTCGAGGTACAGATATATTCCTTAAAAATGTCAGTAGGATGAAGAGAACAAGGTAGATAAGAAATAACAGAGAAATTTCTTTGAAATGCCACAGAATTTTTAAAGTAGTATTTTTCTGTAGGTGATAAATACATGTGTATCACAAATTATTTATTTTGCTTAAATACCGTATTAGGTGCTATACAGCAGAAATGATTGTCAAGTTTAGTAGTTAATTAAATAACAATGTTTGGCAAAACCATAAATTTGGTGAAAAAAAGGGAATATGTACCTTTACAGTACAATGCAATTATTATTTCAGCACCTTTTGGTATGGCTATCAGTTCCTTTCATTGTCACCTCTTTATGTGGCTATCATTCCTGTTAATTCCGGTATATGATACATTTACAGGTGTATAATTAACTAGGGTAGTTTACTTGTTTTAGTGATATACTGTAATATTTTATAATTATTGTTACATTACATGTATTAAGTATTGTACTTACTGCCATAAATGTGTCGTGAAGTGATTCTATATATATTTTTTCTTCAAATTGAAGATATTAGGGGTTGATGTATATAAAAGTGAATGGATACATTATATCATGAGTATTTATTGAGGGAGAGTGTCATTATTATGAATGTTCAAAAGTATGGAGATTTACAAGCAAATTCAAGGAAAATTACGTAGAATTAACATTTCATTAAAAAATGATAAACATTTTATTGTACAGCTGATGTGATTTCTTTTTATAAAAATGTTAATTTTTTTAATTTATCATATGGAAAATAATCAAAATATATATACTAGAAAATTAATTTATGCAAGAAGGCAAATAAAACTATCTTTGGACCCCAGATGTATATTTTAGGGGAAGGGGGGGACTGTCCACAAGCACCTGTGGCATGTTTTTTGTGAGAAACAACACACAAATCACAAGTGTGACATCGTTGTAAACCAACCCTGTTTGTAGTCTTCAAGAAATTTGAAAAGAAACTTTTTTTTTCTTAAAGACCAGATAAAGACCAAAAAGATTTTTCTTTCTTTCATGCAGCAGGAAATTGTTTCAACAATTTATTTTAATGTACATTTTTTAATTGACTACAGTTGTATGGGTTTTTATTTGTTTTTGTCATATACAGTATATGTTGCAAAATTGATTGTTTTTTGTGGGATTTTTTGATAGTTTTTGTACTAGTGTATTTGAAAATTAAAACAATAATGAATATTTTTAGCTTGTTACATGTACATAATATATACATGTATGCATTTAAAAATTAATGAACTTAATTCAAGGCTAACATTTCTTGTTTTGTTAAAATTAACATAACATGATAACAGACCATACATGTACCTTCGGGTGCAGCCCAGGGGTGTTATAATAAGGAAGGGATGATGAAATCGAGAGGATTTTAGCTCACCTGTGCTGAAAGCTCTAATGAGCATTTTTGTTTGTAAACATTTCACATTTTTACTTCTTCACTAATGGAAGAAGTATTTTAACCAAACTTGACACAAAGCAGCATCTTGTGTAAAGGGGAGTTTACATTGTTAAGATGAAGGGCCAAGCCCCGCAAAAGGGGAGATAATCAAGAATAGGCAGGAAAATAAGGTTATTCATTAAAAATTCTTCTCAAGAACTACTGGGCTAGGAAAAGTGAATCTTATGGGGAAGCACATCAGGGAAATGTAGATTTGTAATTGTTCAAATCATGATCATGGGGGTAGGGTGGGGCCACAATAAGGAAACCCAAGTTTTACATTGAAATATATATCGGAATAATCTTTTAAAATCTTCTCAAGAACCACTGGACCAGAAAACCTGAATCTTATGTGGAAGCATCCTTGAGTAATATAGATTTTATATTGTTCAAATAATGACCCCGGGAGTAGGATGGGGCCACAAATAGTATTACAAGTGGGAAAATATGGTGAAGAACAGAGTGGCTAAATTTACTCTGGTGAGCGGTGTGGCCTATGGGCATCTTGTTAAACGAACACAATTCAATAACAAAAGTGGTGCAGAGGTGGTGTAAAATTAATCTAAAGTGAGAATTTAAAAAAAAAACTGAAATACGCATGCAATCAATGGGTTTATTTTTTATTTGCAAAAGCGCCGGCCTTCTCCTTCCAATTCCTGCTGTATATACAAGTAATGTATACAGTACACGGCATATTGTTATATATTCACTGTACATGTATATTGTTGTTTCCTCCTAACAAAGAAACATGACCCATGCTTTTGAGTTTTAAAATTTGTAAGAAATGTTTAGATTCCAGTGTGGAGATTTTGAAATCGTTTTGATGGATATAAGCCCTAACACAAACAATGATAGCCAAGGCTTATTGACCTGAATGGACATCGCAGCCACCACCAATTTAATGGATTTCCGATGACCTAGATCTGTGCATTGACTGGGGGATCCACTGTTACACTGCCAGAACGCCCACGATCGGTCGATTATTTTTAGAAACCAGTTGATACCCGAGACAAAAGCCCCACCCCAAAATTAAGGAGGCAAGTATTTCTTTAAGTGTTGTTTATGTTCCATTAGAATAGAAATGCACATTTAAAAATCATACACATTGTATGTGGTTATGGAGAAATAGAGCAAGATTTTTGTTTGTTTACATGTTAACTTAAAAATATGTTAATTAATGTTTACTCTACCATATCTAGCCGTAGAGTAAACCAATTTCTTGAATACTTGCACTCGAAGAGGAACTCAGAACTTTTTTTTATGGTGACAAATGGAAGTACGTGTAGTTCCTATTTAAATCCATTTTATATTAGGATGTTAACTAGTGTCTGATTAACATTAATCAATCCCTAATGTAAGGAGTTTGAGGAAGTGTTTATGACAAACGACCTTCCGATTAAGATTGCACTGGTAGATGTTATACTGGATGTTGTATGCTTGTCATAATGATATGTTAAACAACAATTCATGCAAAAGTTGCTGCTGTTGCCAGCATCATAAATTAATTGTTTGGAGTACCAGTATTGATATATATACCTATTCTTGTAGATGCATGAGTATTGTTATCCAGTATATTATAGACTGATGAATATGATGAGGATGATAATGATATCGAAAATAACATCTTAAGTTTTTATGGGATCACAAGTTTATTAAACGTCTTTTTAATTTGCACAACCCCACCCCCCCCCCACCCCAATTTTAACCCCATAAACGTTTTTCGAAACTTATTACCACGCAAAAGTTTTGTTAAAGGTAACCATGATAAATAGCAATATGATACATTTTTCTCAATTAACCCTCCTCAAAAAGAACCTCCGTAATGCTGTTACATGATAATTGCAAAATTTTACCCATCAATGTTCCATGTTTACAGTATTTTAAAAAAAACTTTAACACGTAATTTCAAGGATTGTGGTCACCTGATTTCGTGTCTGCAGATCTGTAGCTCTCCGAAAAAGAAAATATTGACAGACCGGAGAGCTACAGTGCCACCCATTGAAAAAAACTATATTTATTGCGCACAAAAAAAGTGCGCACGGCTCTGAATTAATTCTTCCAAATTTTACCTCAATTTGCTAAAAAGCTAGATTTTAAAAGTTTTTTTACTTCTCTATCAAGAACTTTCGTAGTTTACATCTGTACGAAGTGCGTTGGACCGAATTATCTTACAACTAAAATGGCATTATAAATACTAGTAGGCGAAATTTTCGATGATCTCAATTTCAGGGCCAGTGGGGTTATTAACAACAATTATGAGGAATTTTTTGTTGTGAGTACAGTGAAAGCATATGTTAGAAACACACGGTTAGTAATATTTTGAGACTGCAGTATTAAAAACATAGGGAAATAAATCGAGAAACAGTGCACTTTTTTGTGCGCATTAAATATACAGTTTTTTCAATTGTATATGTCAATTTACATTTTTTTCAGAGAGCTACAGATCTGCAGCTACTGATTTCGGTGTCTTTGTGGATGAGATGTCTATCATTATTTGTGGCATATTGTGTGAAACAACAAAATGCTTTCTTTGGTTGTTGGAATGAATGTCGCAGCTGATGCAGAAAAAATTACGCAGGTTATGTAATTTTTGAGTTGGCTCGCGTAGCGAGCTACTCCCTGTCGATATAGCCGTTTCAGAGCTGTAAAATTTATCACGCATTCATCAAGGTGATCCATACGCCAAATATAATAGTTCTAGCAAAAAATGCTTTGGTTTGAGTGATTGTATAAACTTAAGAGGTAAAAACAATATAAAATTTCATACTGTAACATTATTTATGCCTTCATGCTTTTAAAGAAATTTTTGATTAAATACCTGTATGATGTACAATTACTGCGTATGAATATATGTTCAAGCATGTTAGGCGGATCAATCTTCCCATCTGAAGTTTATTTATAATTGACCTAACTCCCTAACACAAACACCTGCTGCTCTCATTAGCTGCAGCTAGTTGTTGTTGAAAATCTATTTTTAAAGATTTGCTGTGGGAATCTTTAACCTGATTATTCCATAACACTGACCACTTCAGCTAATGTGCTTAAATTCATTATAGAATCCAGTCAAAATAATAGGGAAGCCCATTAGTGCCAAACTATATATATAAAGGAAAAGCATTTATGAACCGAACATGGATCAGACATATAATATTCAATCTCTTAAGATGCAAAATAAACTGAATATATTAAGGTATGGTGCCCAGATGTATGGAATAGCTCAATTGACTCGAGCGAGTCAACTCGCAGGCCCTTCAGGCCTTTGATTTCTGCAATTGCTGCGACATTCATTCCTGTACTAACAACCAAAGAAAGCATTAATTTATTGTTTATATCTGTTTAGATATTCATTTAAAGTAGGATTAAAAAGATTAACTATTGTATTATTGATACATTTGGCTTAGATCGCTTCATTGATGGAATAGCCGTTGATCAAGAGATCTGTATAGGTGATATGCCTCGTGTTGTTCATGCACTGATTAACGAAGATGTTTTTTCTTCAGAAATAAAGGAAAAAATATTCAGTGGATGTAAATATTCAAATATGAATGCCCTATCAATTAACATTTAAGAGTTATTAAGTAAAACGTGAAGGTCAAAGGGTCAGAAATCATAGCATGCATCGAAATATCTTGCTTTGGGTGTCAAATATTTACATTTCCAATGTCTTTGTCCGAGATAAAATTACCAATTGTAAATGTAATTTATTTCCTCATGAATGTCTTGGCGCGGTTCCAAAAAAAACCACGTGCAGGGCGGGACAACACCTAGAGAGAAGCAGGCTTGGAGCCCGTGGATTGGCGGAATCAAAGCATTTATAAGGAATAACTGTCTTATTTTTCGAATTCATGAAGATGATCAAACTTGTGTGATAATTTTATGGCCATGGGTTTATGCAAATTATCACACAAGCCAATCCATTGATCACTTCATATTAAAAAAAGACTTATCCTTAAATAACATGAATATGAAAGCCGTACATATATAACATTGTGTTGAAAAGTAGGTCAAACTTCAAGGTCAAGGCCATGGGGTCAAAATCATAGTGACACGTATTAAGAAAGGACTTCTCACAGGTAAAGCAATATATAATTATGAAAACCCTATCTCTTCACATTCAAAAGTAATTTTTAAATTTCTGAGAGTAGGTCAAAGGTCAAGGTCACGGGGTTCAATATCATAGTCTATTTAAAAAGTTTTGCCACAAGTAATACACATGTTTAACATGAAAGTCCTATCTCTTGCCATTCAAAAGATATGACCAAGTTTGGAGTTTCTGTGACAAACTGACAGTCAAATGAGATGTCATGTCCCCTCGCTTTGGCGAGTACATTTTGTCGCACATAAAACATAGATATAAAATTGATTTCGTCTCAAATTGTCGCCAGTGTAAATTTATGTACAGATGTGTAATAAGTATACATGTAATTACAACTGTTACATATTGTTTGCACTGAAAATGTGTACATGGCGACAAAACGTACAGTTAAAAGTGCCCTCCAATACACCCCTACTGTTCACACTTTCTTCCTTATCTCCATATAATCTCTTGTGTACAATGTATGTAATTTATTTTTCCAGGTTGTGTTGAGAGATGGCGGAGATACGGGTCAAATTTAACGTTGCCATGGTTTTGGCTGTCGTGGCGGCTGAGATTCTGAGTCTGTTGATGTATACTCATTATTCCTCGTGGCATTATTCCCTGGGGCACCGGAACTTGATTGCCGCCATCATTGCCGACTGTGTTCTTGTTTACATTCTCAAATTAATCAAAGAGTAAGTGTATGGTTTTAAAATTTACTGATACATGTATAGACCTCACCTCTTAAGATTTTGTTATAATGCCTTTCTAGTGATAGTGCTAGGAAATCCACGTTTTTTATCTTACAATGTAAATAGAATAAAATAGAAAACATTTGCAATCACAAAAAGGATACCCCTTAAATACTACTTCATTTCTTACTATTTAGGCAAAGAAAAAATAAAACAATTTAGTTTTTCAGGTGTCAAAACTGTCGCATAACATATTGAAAAAGGAAAATAACTCAATTTTCTATTTTTCCAAGTTGAAAAAAGAAAATTGAGTCATTCCCCTTTTATAAAACGTTTTCATGAGTTAAACAATACGTATTTTATGAATTAAATGTTTGGAATAATATTATTTAAAATAACAATAAATTATATATCATTTATATATTAATAATTAATATAAAATTATAATTAATGAAATAGAACAAAAAAGTAAGAACCTGTTGTCAACATTATTTTTTTTGAACAACATGAAAAAAAAAAAACAAAAAAAAACACTGGCTTTGCAGCACTGTTTGGCCTGAGAAACAATTAAATTTTTTTTAAGGCTTAGTACAAATATATATGCTTTTTGGAGTTTCATACTGATATTGTGTTTGATTTATAAAGTAGTTGAGATACGACGAAAATGTATTTCTTCAAATAAACAACCATTTTATGACGTTTCTGTTTTTCCTCCCTACAGGAATTTTTGGGACCCTAAAGACTGGGAAGATGCGGCTATTTTAAGCATGTGGCTAGCTCTACTCTACCTCGGGTTCCAGATGCCCCACGTGGTTCACAACACGTACAGCTTCACGCACTTCTTTTTTCACGTAGTACATAAATTTGCCATCAGCTTTGTTATGCTTTTCGTAATGGAAAGATTTAAACGATATTGAATAAAAAAACAATTAAAATAGTGATTGTCTTAATTTTAGTTATTTTCTTACCCTGTTGAAATCAGAATATACACAGAGAAAATAGCGCACTATTTGTACTCCATTGTTTAGGTCACTAAGTGCATAGTTTTGATGCACAATGCCATCTTCCAAAGTTGTGAATTGGCTGGAATCTATGCCAGTGCTTCTGGTGTTTGGGTGGGGGCTACTGTATTTATGAACGTTTTGGGGAAAATGCTTAGACGGGGCTTGTTTTGCCTGGTTCAAGATGATACATGTACAAAAAAGTGTAAAAAAAAAAAAAATCGTTTTTTGGATATGATTTGCAGGTACATGTATCTTCTTACATGAATAGTGTCGTCAACAGGTTTCTAAAAAGTAGAAATTTCCCTCCCAAGCTAATTATTTCCTCTCTGAATTGGTATCATTTGGGTGGGTTCAAATGCATCCTCCCATTCTTGGCTACAGTCCTTTCTTACCACGAGAACAATGAACATTAATTCTTTTAAGATCCAATTTTATACGCTTTGGATATTTTAAATTAATAAATTCGTCAATCCCGGCCACTGCCGATTGCAAAGAAGTCAGTGAAAGTATCAAGATTCAGGTTTTGGTCCATTTTACAACAATGGTTAAAAAGAAAAAGTCCTTGAACTTTAATCTTTGACCGATGAAGAAAAAAATCTTTAGGTAGTCCCATCCTCAAATTCAGGAGTTGGATAATTGAAAATGCTCACAAAAATGTCTCTGAATTCTTTAAAAATATACGTATGTAATATTTACCGTCTGTATTTCTTCAAAATTCAGCATTAAAATTGATCATATTTTGTTGGGGAAATAATAAATTATCTAATTATCTTTCAGGTAATGCTAATCAAAGAATCCTCTATACATCTGATTGATCAACAAATATATTATACACATGTAATCCAGGCATTAGAGAAAATGGTGCACGTTACGTTTTCATACTTATTATACCGGTATTCGAAACTTTTATAATTTTACAGAAAAAAAAAACTTGAAGCGATTCAAGATGAAAGAAATCAATACAACTAGAATGATTGTGTTAGATCTAGAAATACATGCTTTTTGGTATTATATTTTACTCAGATGACCATTGAGACCTTTTGGGCATGTTCTAGTGATTTAATTATTGATTTATAAAAAAAAAAAAAAATCTGTAGGAGTGCAGCCAGATGAGCATTGAAATTTAACATTGTCCTAGGTCTTTACCTTTTCTTCACACAGGAAACACTGCATTAATATGATTAGTAAAAAAAAATTAACCAAGCTTTCTAATGCCTTAATGGAGTTTTAATGGGAAAATGGTGTATTTACTTTTGTGATTTTATTTTACATGAACGACTTCGTTTTAAATTCAAAAGAAAATTTTAAGCACAGGAGTTGATGCCTTACTTTACAACAATGTATTTTCAACATATTTCATTTGAAGTATATAATTTTTATTATATTTGAAGGTAAAAAATACCTCCCAAAAACAAAATGTTTTGAAGAGTGAAGGAATAAAAATTGCGTTCCGATGCCGGGAATCGAACCCGGGCCGTCTGGGTGAAAACCAGAAATCCTAACCACTAGACCACATCGGAGTGCTTATGATGTATTAGATTATAAAGGAATAAATTCCTTTAATATTAGCGAACGCCTCTACAGCTCATTCATTGGATAGAAAATATAGGTCACTCACAATACAAATACACAACGTCCAGTATTAGCAGATACTTCGCTGTAAAAGTTAAAAAAAAAAATACAAAGGTAAGTTGTTTTGCATGAAGATTTTACATGAATACTCTCGCATTTCCTTTTACAAGCGCATCCAACCAATGTCAAATTCGGAATTTATAGATCTACATGGTAGGCCTAGTACTAGAAGCGTATTCATCATCGTGTCATATTGACCGAGACGCTAGTCGATTATTTATTTTAGCGTTGGAAATGAAAATTTTTTAGTACATGCACTTTTACAGAAATCCAATTTTACCGAATACATGATCATGTGCCTTTCTTGCATCTGTCTTATCTGTGATTAACATGAATGAAAGGCGCGCCCACATTCCTTTTGTTTACATTTGACTTGTTTTTGGTTTTGCAATCGACGGTTATCTCTCTTGCCTCGTAGAGAGATGGAGATTATTTATTGATTATTTCAGCTGTATTATTTTTTTTAAAAATAAATTATGCTTCGAAAACATTAAAGTTTGTTAGTAAAGGGTCCGCTTGTTTACATGGCCATGGTAATTTCAATTAATTAAACGAACAAACATTAATTCTTGCAGTCTTGCATAACATTAATCTCAGCGAGATGCACCCAAACTAAAATTTGATAGTATAGTGAAATTTTCAGCTTTATATCTCGCTGAGATTAGCATAACATGTAATCGTTCTGCACACAATCATGCGAAGATAAGAACACTTAAAATTTTGAAGCAGAAACGCAAACCTCTATTTAAAACATCAGAGGTGAGTTCAGGTGCCATGACCGCTCACACCCACCGTACGCCGGTACGTGTGCTCCTTGTCATGATCGGGAAATAACGGAAAGCATCCGTCGATAATTCAGTGTGTAAATGATGATCTAACAATTGACATGAAAAACATCAGTCAGTATTGATTTTATGATAGATTTGCTTACAATGTCATTATATCGACCATGGAAATTAGGAAATGATGATTGTGAACGAGACTGCTGATATTCTTGTTTCACCAACTTGTTTTTCAATAACCTACCCCGTTTTAGTAAGTGTTCATATACGTAGAGCATGCTCTTGTGTATCTAATTAACTGGAAGATATAATCCACGTATTCAGGTCATCATGTTTATTATAAAGCTTTGTTGTTAGATTACCATAGGCATTAACGTCTTTTTCTAGTAAAATATCCAATATGAAACAGATGCGTCAGAATCTGTGGTATCTTTTCAAGTTCACCGGAATTGATCATATCGATATACAATTTTAAAATTTTTTATTGACCGTCTTAACAAGCAAGACAAGTATTTTTATGTCAACTCTTGTTAAGACTCCAGTATATGTCTTTTTCAGAATCATGGCTGAGTTCAGAATCCAGTTCAGTCTATCTATGATCATTGCCGGGATTCTGGCGGAGGTGGTCAGCGTATTCTGGTACAATAGCCACTCCCCCTGGGGACGAAGGACGGGGGACCGATACATGCTGGCAGCGATTGTTTGTGACGCTGGTCTCGTTGTTGCTGTCAAGTTTATTATGGAGTATGTCATTTAGAATTTAAACACTGGATATCCAATATCGTTATTTATTATACCCCCGCTCTGAAGGAGAGGGGGTTATACTGTTTTACCATAATGTGTCTGTCCGTCTGTCTTTCCGTCTGTCTGTCTGTCCTTAACACATTTTCGTCGCAGTTTTCTCAGCAACTACTCATTGCAAATGCTTGAAATTTTAATACAATATTGTCTTAGACATGTCATTTGGTGGGATACATTTTTGTTCAAATCCGATTTCAACTTCCTGTTTATCCGTGCGTCAGTCCGTTTCATAATACTAAGTTACTAATTTTCGTCGCAGTTTTCTCAGCAACTACTCATCGCAGATGCTTGAAATTTTACCACATTCTTTGCTGAGGCATGTCATATGGTGGGATTTATTTTTGTTCAAATCTGATATTAACTTCCTGTTTGTCCACGCGTCTTTCCGTTTCATACATGTTTCATACATAACAATTTTTTGTCACAGTTTTCTAAGCAAACGCTCATCGCAGTTGCTCATCACAATCTTCTCTGGAGCATGCCATATAGCGGGATTAATTCTTGTTCAAATCCGATGTCAACTTCCTGTTTGCCCGTGCGTCTGTCTATTTCATACATAACAAATTTTTGTCACAGTCAGTTTTCTCAGCAACTACTCATCTCAGATTCTTGAAATTTTAGCACTCTTTTGTGAGGCATGCTATATAGTGGGATTAATTTTTGTTCAAATCTGATGTCAACTTCCTGTTTGTCCGTGCAGCTGTCTGTTTCATAAATAACAAATTTTCGTCGCAGTTTTCTCAGCAACTGCTCATAAACAGGTGCTTGAAAGTTTAGTACATACTTTGTTGAGGCATTCTGTATGTTGGGATTTATTTTTATATGAATCTGATGTCAAATTCCTATTTATCCGTGCATATACCCGTAAGTGAACGTATGTTTATTTACATTATATTGTATATTCACATCAGAGCGGGGGTATTACTAGTGAGCATTGGCTCACAGAGTTCTTGTTTATAAAGCTGTCAATACATGTTGGTATCCTGCCTTATAAAAATTATAGAAAACCATTTTATTTTAATTAAAATATGACATTTATTGTATTCCAGCTCTTTCTGGTCCGTCAGCCGTTGGGAGGATGCTTTTGTTTTGGCGCTAACCCTGGCTGCTATCTACGCATGCCTAGAAGGACCTCACGTTGTTCATAACTCTCGGAGCTTTTCTTGGTTTTTCTTCCACACTGTCCACAAATTCTTGGTAGTCTTCGTTATTGCCATGGCTCTGGTTTATTTTAGTTATTTGGGATAGTTTTAAAAAGTCAACCACGTCTAATTAGTTCATGTTGAATCCTTTATGTGCATGTAACCGATAGAATAGATAAATACAACAATACTTTCTGAGACTCGTAATTGTTTTGTAAATAGACCTGATGATAAATAGAAACAAAGTTACATTGCGTTATATGAAGTGAACGATGTAATGATTATTTTGAAAGTTTATGTCATAGAAATTTTCACATTTTAAGAAATTCATTACTTTTATTTTAAATTCATTTAGACTTGATTATATATTTACTCCTTAAATCTGTTTATACATTATGCACAACTTTACGCAATTGTACTTAAGTCTTTTATATACTCCAATATTATTATTGTTCTTTACTCATGTAGAATTCCACGGCAGGTCAAACCGTGTTATTATATACCTCAAGTAGTCCCTTTATACATTATTATATATACTCTGTACAATATACAATAAATGTTGTTGCAAATAAGTAAAAAGAATGAACTTGTTTATCACTGCATCAGACTTGTTGGAAAAAATCTAATGAGAAAGCGTAGATACAGCATGAAGTGTTAATTATCAGTGAAATGTTTTGTTTGACATGTTCATTAATGAAACTATATATGAAACTTAAAATATTTACCAGAACATTATTTACAAATAACTTGTGTTTAATATCACTGATATCTATGTACTTGGAATGATCGATACATTTAGACAGAAATGTCTCATCAGTCTCAGTTTTTTGTTTGTTTTGCGGAGGAGGATGACGTCTAAAAGATGAAAACTACAACGTCATGAGAAATCCTCAGCCATTTTAAAGGTATTTAATAAAGGATAAAATTTCGGTGTACCTAATAAGTAAAAGCATACATATGATGTACTTGTCCGAAATGTCTGGCGTTTTCCTGGCTTTTTTACGATTTTGATATTTTACGTGCCAGGAAAACGTCAGAGCCGGCCCCATTAGGAAAATGGCCGTCTCTAACCGTAGCTGATTTTCGATATTTCGAACCGAACTAAATACCGAAATCAGAATTTATCAGTAGCACAATGCTTATAATACTCATCAATATCAATGAAATGAAAACATCACACAACATATCGATACAGGACTCACAAGATTTAAAATGCACGAAATGATTTAATAAATCCCGACAGTCTGATAACATGTTTTCATAGGATAGTATATTTTATTAGGGGTAAGTACTAAAAATATTGTACTATTAATACCTTGTGCATTTAATTCGATTCACAAGTATCGAAAATTAACCCGAGAATGTCGCCTCCAATTGACGGCGAATTCTTAGTTTACGTAATGGAGCCTGTTTTGGTGTTTTCCTGGTATGTAAATTATCAAAACTGTAATAAAAAAAGCCAAGAAAACGTAAGACATTTCCGACTGAAAGTGTGATATACACGAAAAATTAGTGTAATATTATACAGTTTGACGTGCACCATCGTCTCAAGCCACGGTCCGGAGTCCGCATATAGCTCTCTCCTACCCAGAATGGGAGAGGATCGTACATTTTGGCCGTGGTTTGCGACGATGGACGTGCACGAGAAATCGCGTTACATGAGAGTGTGACGTGCACGAGAAATCGCGTTACACGAGTGTGACGTGCACGAGAAATCGCGTTACATCGGCACAATATGATGGGCATGTGAATCACTGTGATCCTCACTCTCTACCATCGGCTCATTCATTCACATCTGTCGTTGTTATCACAGTGATAAACACGAGAAATAGTGCGTTTGTCTTAATTCATTAAAATTTAATTTCTATGTCTGACTTTTGCGATATTTACTAAATTAATCCAGAACTATTAATTTAATTTGAAACAATCCTGCAAATATCGTGTTTCATTTTATAGCTAATAAATAGTCTCTTAAAAAAAAAAAAAAAAAAAAAAAAGCTAGAGAATTTTAGCGTCCAATGAATATCTTGGGATTTTATTGAACGTTGAGTTTGTATTACGTATATGAGGATGCCCGAAACATTCCGAATACGAGCGTTCAATATCGAACGCCCCGTTGTAAACAAAAAAAACGTCGTCTGGTCATTCATCTTCAGTTAAATTAAAGAAAAGAAGTGGCATCTAGGTAAGATGTGTTTATTTTTTACACAAAATGAATTTATTAATTAAAAATTTAGTGCGTATACTATTAGACCCATTGATTAAAACATAAAATAAGCAAATCATAACCCTCGGCAGGGTCATCGGAATGATGCGGATTTAATATTTGAATACATATGCAAAAAATATCACGAATTTGAGTTTTTAGCTCACCTGAGCCGAAGGCTCAAGTGAGCTTTTCTGATCACATTTTGTCCATCGTCCGTCTGTCTGTCCGTCTGTAAACTTTTCACATTTTCGATTTCTTCTCAAGAACCACTGGGCCAATTTTGACCAAACTTGGTACAAAGCATCCTTGGGTAAAGGGGAATTTAAATTGTTAAAATTAAGGGACATATCCCCTCGCAAGGGGAGATAATCAAGAAAAGACAAAAATAGGTTGGGGTCATTAAAAAATCTTCTTCTCAAGAACCACTGGGCCAGTAAAGCTGAAACTTATGTGGAAGCATCCTGGGGTAGTGTACATTGTTCAAATCATGACCCCCAGGGGAAGGGCGGGGCCACAATGGGGAATCTAAGTTTTATATAGAAATATATAGGAAAAATCTTTGAAAATCTTCTCAAGAATCACTGGGCCAGAAAAGCTGAAACTTATATGGAAGCATCCTGGTATAGTGTAGAAAATTGTTCAAATCATGACCCCCCGGGGAAGGGCGGGGCCACAATGGGGAATCAAAGTTTTACATAGAAATATATAGGAAAAATCTTTGAAAAACCACTGGGCCAGAAAAGCTGAAACTTATGTGGAAGCATCCTGGTATAATGTAGATTCTAAATTGTTCAAATAATGACCCCCGGGGGATATACCACAATGGGGAATCAAAGTTTTATATAGAAATATATAGGAAAAATCTTTGAAAATCTTCTTCTCAAGAACCACTGGGCCAGAAAAGCTGAAACTTATGTGGAAGCATCCTGGTATAGTGTAGATTCTAAATTGTTCAAATCATGACCCCCAGGGGAAGGGCGGGGCCACAATGGGGTATCAAAGTTTTACGTAGAAATATATAGGAAAAATCTTTGAAAATCTATATATAAGCATCCTGGTATAATGTAGATTCAAAATTGTTCAAATAATGACACCCGGAGGAAGGGCGGGGCCACAATGGGGAATCAAAGTTTTATATAGAATTGTTATACCCTTATAAATATCCTTCTATATATTTATTACTGATAAAAAGTCCAACAAAAGAAATGTTTATTACGTCGGTCTAACAATTTCACTATTGACCGGTCTTACATAAGAATTGTTAGACCGCAACGTAACTTGTCTGTTATGTCACAATTAATAATCATCGTTCAATATCGGCGACGCGAAAATACCCTAAGTTAAGAGCTATTAAGAGTTGTTGCTAACAGCAAGGTAAGGTAGAAGGGAAGAGTATGTTTTGTGATAAATAATTTTTGTGATATAATAGATATATAATTGATTTTGTTTTTTCTCAGCTTGATGTTTTATATTTACTGAAGAAGCCATAATTTTCCATATGAAATAATTAATAGTATAGCGTGTATTGATAAAATTGATCAATCTTAAGTGAACAGTGAAGGGTATAACAAAACAGTTATAGTGTATGATTTGTTGGACCTGAAGATGAAAATGTTGCCCTTGGCCTGCGGCCTCGGGCAACATTTTCACCTTCAGGTCCAACAAATCATATGTTACCCTCATACCCAGTCAATAACTGTATAATATATAGGAAAAATCTTTGAAAATTTTCTTCTCAAGAACCACTGGGCCAGAAAAAGTGAAGCTTATGTGGAAGCATTCTGGGGTAGTGTAAATTCTAAAGTGTTCAAATCATGACCCCCGGGGGAAGAATTAAAATCAAAGTTTTACATAGAAATATATAGGAAAAATCTTTGAAAATCTTCTTCTCAGGAACCACTGGGCCAAAAAGCTGAAACATATGTGCCCATGGAAGGATCATGGGGTAGAATAGATTTCAAAATGTCTAAATTATGATCAGTGGGGTAGGGTGGGGATGCATTATGTATAACAAGGGTGAAATCTGGTAAAGAACAGAATGATCAAAGCTTCTCAGGTGAGCGATGTGGCCCATGGGCCTCTTGCTTAGTTGGAATAATTATTATGAGGAAATGTTTGAGCTATATAATAAAGGAGTTAAACGTTATGTCAAAAATCTTGACGTGAGCCCATTACAGAGGTGTCTTAGAGAGAAACGAACGACAACTCTGCATGGGAGATTGTGTGATCCTTCGAATAGACGGGTACCCTGACACTGGTTAACGGGCGCAAGCGCCCTGAAAAAAAAAAAACGACTAGAAGCAAGTTCAGAGAACCAGATATATTCTACGAATATATTCAGAAGGAAAAAAATACTTAAAATAGTCAATAATATAGAAACCAACAAACAGGTAACATATTTTTTTTATCTGAGAATGTGAATAAAAAAAGGTGTCTTTTCAAAATATGATATCGGATTCGTCTTATTATCTTCCTTTTTAACACTTCGGTAAACGGTAAAATTAGACGGATCGCATTTTGACACATTTCCTAACAATATTGATAGATCATGCATTGTTTTATACTACTAATAATTTTAGGGGTTTTTAATAGTTCACCTGAGCCGAAATTGTCGAAAACTTTTCACATTTTCATCTTCTCGAGAACCACTGGACCAATTTCAACCAAACTTGCTACAAAGTACCCATGGGTGAAGGGGATTCAAGTTTGTTCAAAGAAAGGACCACGCCCTCTTCCAAGAAGAGATAATTATGAATTAGTGATAAATTAATAGTATCTTAAAAATTTCTTCTCAAGAACCACTGGGCCAGGAAAGATAAAACTCGGGTAGAAGCATCCTCTGGTATTGAAGATTCAAGTTTGTTCTAAACATGACCCCCTGGTGTACGATGTGGCCAAACTGGGGTATCAAAGCTTAACATAAGAATACATAGGAAAAATCTTTAAAAATTTTCTACTGAAGAACAACTGGGCCAGGAAAGATGAAACTCGTGTAGAAGCATCCTCTGATAGTGTTGCTTTGAGTTTGATCAAATCATGACCCTTCAGGGGTAGATCTGAATTATAAAGGCTATATAAAAAAAATCATCTTATAAACAGCAAAGCCATTCAAGAGCATTCTCAGGAATTGTAGATTTAAGTTTGTTCAAATCCCCCTTCCCCAGAACCCACTTTTATATTTAAACTTTTCAATACTGAACTGATTTCTGCTTTTACCTAGCCAGTTGCTCAGGTGAACGATGTGGCCCCCTGGGCCTCTTGTTTTTACTACAATCAAGTTACTCAGTTTAACTGATCATTTCAGAATGCTAATGGTGGATATGACTCATGCAGTGGTTCTCAGGGGATGCTTAGTACTTTTAGGCAGCTGATCCCACCACTGTTGGGTCCAGGGGGTTACGGGATTGCGTTCTGTTGCATTCTGTATTA